CTCTCAAGAGGAGTGGATAGCACGAGATAAACCAGTGAGATGAGGAGGAAATACTATAACTTCTTTCACTCTAAAAGCTCTATATTGTGTAATACATGAGTTGACGGTTGACTGTACGGGAGGCAGTACAGAATAATGGAAAAAGCCAATCAAGCACCAGTAGTGGTTTAGCCACTTAACCACCATTGACTTAGGGCAAATTACGTAATTCTGTGCCTCCATTTCTTCACCCATGAAAGTGACAAAATAATAAATCTAAACCAAAAGGTTTTTATGAAGATTAAACAGATTAATACTTATAGATCACTTAGAGCAGCACCTGGTACAATGTAATCCACTATATAAACATTAGCTTTATTATGTCAGAGGATCACACCCATTATGTCACATATCCTGAAAGGACATTCCTAAGGAATGCCAAAAGAAGAGTTAACTCTTGGAAGGGTTTACTGTCTCACTTTCAGAAAACCGTGGAGTATTGAAGCATCTAAGGGTCTGCTTATATGAATTTTTAAAATTATGTTTTCCAGTTTTAGGTAAAGTAACTCACAAAGTTGACAAGTAGCTTAAAAAGATTCTGGAAGACAATTAAAGATAACACACAACCTGTGAATAGAAAGGAAACGACAGGGTTCATAGTTCTCTTGTTCTTAGTAAAAAGCTCTTGTCAGTCATTTTGAAGGAAAAATAAGACCATCTAAGTACAGAAACAAGATAGTCTAAAAATTTAAATTATCAAGGAAACTATATATTAAATATATATACTTTTCATTTATCAAAAAAAAACTAAGTTAAAAATAAAACAACTATGTGACTATGACTTTATACCCTCTATCATTAATTATCAAGTTTTATCCTAAATTTAATTACTCTTCTGTCTGAAACCCTTGGGCAGATGTGCTCAGAATTTAGGATTTCTTAATTTATTTTTATAAGATACTAAGTGCTGTGTCCTATATTACCATCCTGTATTACTAACACTCCCCTGGCAGGATCTCAGGCAGCATCCCATTACCAAACACATTAATATTTCTGCAGAGAAAAGTAGAAACATTCACACTAAGTAGGATAAATGAAGATCATAAAAAATCATTTGTGGCAACATCTATTATATATAATATATATATTTTCTATTTTATATATATTACATAATATATATGATATAAAACCTATTATATATTTATATATTAAGTTGTTATTTACATACTCTCTTAAGGTCTGAAGACATATTTGGAAAAAGAGACAAACATATCAAACACATTACTCCATTTTCAAAAGGAACTAATAAATCAGTGGGGGCAGCGGTTCACACAAGTCATGATGGGTTCTCTGGGGTCCCTGAATGATACCATTTGCCAAAAAAAGTCAACTGTCAATTTAAGTGGAAAATGAAGAGAACAAGATTTAGTTAGAAATGCATAGACTAGAACACAAGAAGGCCTTGAGGTCCCCGTTGCTAGCATAAATGTCGCTGGATAGCTGGAGTCAGAGCCATGGGTGGGTGGTCACACTCCTGGGGTCTCCAAGAGCATTAGCCCCTCCAGGCACTGCTTCCAGCCCTGATGCTCAGTTGTGTCGAGTTGCTGCAGGCCATAGGGAACCCCTCACCACCCTCAGCCTGGAAACACAAAGAACCACTCTACTCTGCCTCTCTCTCATGTCTTGTCCCTGCTGCTGTGGGGGGAAAACTCAATTCCTTAGACAAGTAGAAGAATCTGTGGAAACCCCAATAGCTGGGAGAACCACAAAGCAGACCTCCTGCTCCCAATGTGTTTAAACCAATGACCCCAATATCTTTATTTATTTCCTGAGGTTTGCTTCCACTAAATTCAGTTAGATTTTCTTCTCCTAACAAGTAACGTCTTTTGAAAAGGCAAATCTATCTTGAATGATTACATTTCTTTAATACAATTTCTCTTACTACTACCAGCAGCAGCCAAATTTGTGTTCGATTTTCACTTTAATAAAACCTGTATTGAGCACCTATTCATGTGCAGGTAGGCTAAGTGGGTCAAATAAATATAAATAGCTACATGGTAGCACAAGCAGCCTTTTCACACCAAAAGAGCTCCCCCAACCCCCACTGTCAGGAGGATGGTGGGCTTGAGGGTGGGGGGCATGGGGAGAAAGACTTGGAACAAGCCATGACAGAAACAACCGATGTTATGGCAGAGGCATGAAGGATGCTGGGCCGGCTTACAGCAAGGGAATTTAACTAGTGTGGGGTCAAGGAAGAGTAACCCAAGTGGAGACTTGGGGGACAGGTTAATGTCAACCAGGCGAAGGCGGGTGGAGATGGCGACTTTGGCTGGGCAGCCTGGCCATAGGGGTCCTGTGGATTCTCATCCTCCTGTCAAGTGAGGTGACTGACAAGTATTTTCTTTTTTAAGATTTTATTTATTTAGGGGCGCATGGGTGGCTCAGTGGGTTAAAGCCTCTGCCTTCAGCTCAGGTCATAATCCCAGGGTCCTGGGATCGAGCCTCATGTCAGGTTCTCTGCTCAGCATGGAGCCTGCTTCCTCCTCTCTCTGCCTACTTGTGATCTCTGTCTGTCAAATAAATAAATAAAATCTTTTTTTTAAAGATTTTATTTATTTATTTGACAGAGAGACAGAGAGACACACAAGTAGGCAGAAGGAGAGGGTGAAGCAGGCTCCCCACTGAGCAGAGAGCCCAACGTGGGGCTCTATCCCAGGACCCTGAGACCATGACCTGAGCTGAAGACAGAGGCTTAACCCACTGAGCCACCCAGGTGCCCTGGCGACTGACAAGTATTAAGCAAGGTGCAGCCTCAGCTGACCTGAATTTTAAATAATCCCTCTGCCTACAGTGACACAGTGAGGTGGACAGTGGCAGGATCGGAATCAATGAGGAATCTGTTGCCATAGGTTAGCTAAGGAATGATGGAGGTTGAAACCAAGATTCAGACACCAAGGAGCCAAAACCCATGGGACTTGGTGATTTATTATTTATAGGAGGTAAAGAAGAAGAGGAAGACCTCTGGGCTTCTGCTTTGAACAATGAAATGGTGGTGAAGGCCTGTACTGAGGGGCAGGTTGTGGGGGTAAGATGATGAGTCTAATTCCTCCGAGATGCCCGAGAGACATGTGAGGGGGGCAGCTATGCAGCAGCACTTAGATGCTGGGGAGAGATACCCACGTGGAGTGGTCAGTCTCAGAATGGTGCTCACCTAGCAGGTGCATGAAGAGTGAAGAAAGAGGGGCATCTGGGTGGCTCAGTTGGTTAAGCGACTGCCTTCAGCTCAGGTCATGATCCTGAAGTCCCCAGACTGAGTCCTGCATCAGGCTCCTTGCTCAGTGGGATCCTGCTTCTCCCTCTGACCCTGCCCCCTCTCATGCACGCGTGCTCTCTCTCTCTCTAATAAATAAATAAAATCTTAAAAAAAAAAAAAAAGAGTGAAAAAACAGGATCTTGTTTAAGATGTGAAGTGAGCAGTTAACAGATGAGACCAGGTGGTGGAATTGGCCGGCAAGGGAGACCATGAAGGAATAGTCAAGAAGTGGGAGGTAAGCGAGGTAAAGGTCCAGGGTGATGTCACAGGACTGAGATATTTTTAGGTGCTTCAAGGCTGTTGGCCATGAGCCAGTAAAAGGACTGTTAGAAACAGAGGAGAGAGAGGGGATAATGATTAACAGAGGATTCCCGATAGGAGCAGAGGGACTGGGATCCACAGTGGAGGGGAAGGCTGACCTTGCATTGGAGGGGTGACACTCCTTCCATGGTGACAATAAAGGAGACCAATGGCTGTAGGCTTACAGACATTTTGGTGGGAGGTTGAAGGAGCTCGTTCCTGATGGCCAGGTGCCGTGGGTGGCAGGAGACGAACTCAGCTCTGAGAGTCAAGATGGGGCAGAGGCTGAGGTCTGAGGGGAGCTGTTCTAGAGAACAGGAGCAGAACTGGTCAGGCAGCATGGAGGGTCCAGCTGAGGGGGAGGCATAACCTACCTGGATGTGACCATCCATGCAGCTTGTGTGCCAAAGGTGGCCAGCAGATGGCCGGAATCGAGCATCAGAAGGAAAAGAGGGCAGAGGAGTTTAGGCTCTTGATAGGAGACACGTGATAGGGATGGGCCATGGAATTTAGGCTGGATGGAGAGGTAAATGCAAGCCAGGAGATGACTAGAGGGTGCGGAGAGAGTCAAAGAAAATGGACTTCTAAGGTGAGGAGGTGGGTGAATTTGAAGCAAGAAATACTTGGAGTTCCAGACACAGTCAGAGGCTTGGGCCCTCGGGGGGCCTGGAGCTTAGCAGGGATGAAGCTATAAGCAAACCAGACAATTTCTGCCAGATGAATCTCTTGCCAAGACCAGGCTTGCACCCAGGAAAAGGAAAAGAACTGCAACGAGGGCCCCGGGGCATGGATGGAATTGTAATAACCCCACTTCTTTGTGATTAGATAGGCCATTACACAAAGAATGTAGAGTGTGAAGTTTGTAGAAATCTTGCTTTGAAATCTCACTTCTACAGAGACTCATTCCGGCAAAGAAGGATGTAATGGGAAAGAGACATGCTCAGCGAGAGGAAGCCAGAAGTCAACCAAATACAATTTGAGATTTAGCTTTGAATTCTGTTCATACCTACCACAGACTTGCCATATGATGTAATAATATAACTTTTTAAGATAAAATGCTATAGAAGCTAAAGTTATTGGTGCCTCCTCTATGCCAGGCATTATGCTGATAACTGTGTGCACGTATTTCATTCAATTCTCACAACTCTCAGAGGTAGATACTCCTATTATCCCTGTTTCACTAGCAGGGAAACTGAGACCTAGGGAAGTAAGCGGTGAGCTGGGTCTGCTTCCCATGACTCCTAATTTTTCAGATAAGAATAAGGCCATGTAGGATATTATGAGGAGTGAACCAGAAAGATGATGGTACAGTTCACAGAAGATTAAGTTCAATGAAACTCAAAAGAATAATTTTGATTGCATGGAGGCACCAGTTTGATTTAAAAAGTTTCAAAATTTCAATACCAACCTATGTTTCTCTGAATTAACATGCACTCCCTCTCCTTGGCGGAAAAATGGCTTCTGCTTGGAACGCCAAAGTCAAAGCAGTATTTATTCCTCCCCATGTCAAACAAAGTGCAGTTGAATACGGTTCTCCTCTCTCCCAAGGTCAGGCTGTTTTCAGCTAGCTGAATGGTCCTTTCCCCAGGGCGTCTGGGGGCCTCCTTGAAGACCGTGATCACTCCTTGGACAAAGATACATGGTGGGGGCAAGACTGTCACCTCCACCCCAGACTCACACGTGAGTTCTGGTGCCATCACCAGTTTGTATCCAAATTTCTGGGCCAGGTCAATGGGTCCTGTGGAGGTAATGACCGAGTCTCGGCCAAACAGCTTCAGCACCACCGTGACGTAGGCTTCCGGCCCCACAGGCGCACAGCCAAACTGAAGCCACTGACCTTGAGAGAGTTCTGTCCTCTTGCTGGTTCTGATCTCCAGCGGCTGACCTGGACTTGTTCTTGCCTCGGGCAGACTGTTGGTAAAGATGACGTCCACCAAGACGTCAGGCTGGTCCACAGGGAAGAAGCACAGTGGCTGATGGGTGAAAAGGCCCACAAGGAAGGTGCCTTCCACTGCCTTGGACGTCCTATTCAAGTCAATGTGAAAGACGGGCCATTCAACCTTGAGAAAGGCTCTTTGCTCCCAGTGGCCGACTTGAGTACCGTTGTCGGCCACCTCCGGAGCCATCGTGAACCAGTAGTCTCCAGCCTCCTTGAAGTAGAAGCATTCAAACTCCAGTGTGCCCTGGGACTGGTTGGTCAGGAGATATTTGGCGGTCACTGTCTGATTGGTGCTGGCCTCCAGCAACAGGACAGACACATTCCTCAGCGTCCCATTGGCACCACCGAAACGCCGGAAATCCACAGACACCGTGTTGTTGCTTAGCGCTACATGGCCTGGCTTTCCCAAGAGGAGATGCTCGGCTTCTCCAAGAACTGAAACGAAATGGTCAGAGTCGATTTTACAAAGATATCTCTGAGCAGCACCACCGGTGACATTGAAGAAAACAGCATTCTGCTCATAAGGAGGAGGAGTTTGACCTCGGCCAAAGAGGAGGTGCAATGATGCTGTGAGCCGATCCCGGGAGCTGGGCCCCGTGCGGTTCCCATTCTAAAGTGGCTCTGGGCCTTGGTCTTCAGCTATAGTGGTTATATTGAAAGCAACATCTCACAAGAAATACCCTGAATGCACCCCACTCAACAATGTAACACCTCGGCAATGTAACAGTGTAACACCTTGGCAGTGGACAGTCTATATAGCAGGAACAACAACAGACTGGTCTCAAGATGGAAATCCATACCCCACTTCTCTCATTTTAATCTGTTAAAAAGAAAACAAGCCCCCCAGGACAGCAAACCAGGACTTAATTACAGCTTCAACCTAGCCCGGGAATGTGGCCTTGCCACAGTCCATCTCAAATTTCCTGATCTGCACTGGTGAGGTTACCTCCTTGATAAAAAAAACCTCACTGCCACCTCCCAACCCCCCCCACCCCAACACACAGAAAGAAGACATCCTGGCCTGAAACATTCCTTTCTGTTCTTTTGCTACTAACTTCTTGCCCCACCCTCCTTCCTATAAAAACCTTCCATTTTGTACAGCTCTGCGGGCCATCTATGCTTGCTAGATGGGACGCTGCCCGATTCATGAACTGCTTAATTAAGCCAATTAAGTTAGATCTGCAAATTCACTTAAGTGAACTTTTTTTTCCCCCTTTTTAAATAAAGCATATTCTAGGGGCCCCTGGGTGGCTGAGTCTGCCTTTGGCTCTGGGCCCTGCCTCGCATGGAGCTCTCTGCTCAGTGGGGAGCCTGTTTCTCCCTCTCCCTCTGCCTGCTGCCCCCCTCCCCCTGCTTGTGCTCTCTGTGTCAAATAAATAAATAAAATCTTTTTTTTTTAAATCATATTTTGGGGGTGCCTGGGTGGCTCAGTGGGTTAAAGCCTCTGCCTTCGGCTCAGGTCATGATCTCAGGGTCCTGGGATCGAGCCCTGCGTCGGGCTTTCTGCTCAGCAGGGAGTCTGCTTCCTTCTCTCTCTCTACCTGCCTTTCTGCTTACTTGTGATCTCTGTCTGTCAAATAAATAAATGAAATCTTTAAAAAAAAATCATATCCTGGGGACACGTGTGGCTCAGTTGGTTAAGCATCTGCCTTCGGGTCAGGTCCTGGGATAGAGTCCTATATCAGGCTCCCTGCTCAGGGGGGATCCTGCTTCTCCCTCTCCCTCTGCCCCCCACCCCATTTGTGCACGCTCTCTTACTCTCTATCTCAAATAAAAAAAAAATCACATTCTGGTGTTTAGATAATTTGGAGGAAATGGATACATAGTAAAGTGAGAAAACTTGATTTAAATGATGCCGTAAAAACTGCTCTTGATTCCTTAAAATGGAAGACCCTAAGTATGCTTCAAAGTCATCATTTTCTGATATTCAAGACAAGTACTTAAGCATTTTCACCAGTAATGGAACCAGTGCCGTTGGTTTGTACAAAGCAGAAATTTTTAGATGGATGAGAAATGTTGACACTTTATTCTGCACAGGTCGCCCAAGGGACAGAGTGAATGTTTATGACATACCCAGGCTTGTCCTTGGCAGTTTTAATTACACTGAATCCCAGACCAGCCTAGATGCGATAGATGACTTCTAGCCCACAAGCATCACTCAGTTAACATCAATCCTATCTTTTTAAAAAAGAGACACATCAGAGCAGCTGAAGTAAAGAGTGGAAAAAACACAGACACACAGGAATCCTTGTTTCTATTTTGAACCCTATCCAAATACATATCAAAGGAGACAGAATTTGGCAGTGCAACAATCAGCTGGCCCATGGCTAGGGTAAGAAACATTTCTAGATTTAAGACACTACAGGGCTCTTTTGGCTTGAAAAATAACATGTGTAAGTATTAATTTATTATTATTATTATCTTACATAATATACACATATCATACTATATCATATATATGTCCAAAGAACCTCAGTGTGTTACTTGGGCTGGTCATCTTTAAATATACCCTTGCATGTATTCAGTTAATGATCATTAGAATCAGCATGTGGATATACTGGCACATAGAGGTATTGTTTTGTTTTTAAATAGCTCATCACATCACCCATTTCTTATTTAAGATGACATGAAATAATATATATGAAACTTGGAAAGACCTGAAATGTTTGATCATCATCTGCTTGAAAACCATAATAGAATAAAGTTCTTTTTCTTTTTTTTTTTCCTTTAGTCAAAACAGAAGCTGCAAGATAGTCCGTTTCGGAGGAGATGAGTCAAGGCTGAGGAAGGTAGCTGATTCTGGGGGAGCCTGTGCCTGGTTCAGAGCCCACTCAGCACCTGTTTGTAAACAGCGACCAAAGAGACTCTAACGCTCACCGCAGCCCAAGGAAGGAGTTAAGACTGAGAACCAAAGTCAGGTTAATTTGAATCTCACGGGGCAGGACAGTTTTTGATGTACTTTAAGATGGAGACCACACATCACTTAGTTAACTGACAAAGCCTATGGTCGATGATAGGGATAATGGCGAGGGGGGGGGGGCGCAGATCAGACTCCGATTTGATGGGCAGCCAATCAATGAAAAAGACACACATGCCCAGGGGCCTGGGTGGCTCAGTGGGTTAAGCCGCTGCCTTCCGCTCAGGTCATGATCTCAGGGTCCTGGGATCGAGCCCCACATTGGGCTCTCTGCTCAGCAGGGAGCCTGCTTCCTCCTCTCTCTCTGCCTGCCTCTCTGCCTGCTTGTGATCTCTCTCTGTCAAATAAATAAATAAAATCTTAAAAAAAAAAAAAAAGACACAAATGCCCAGTCAGTAGTGGAGAAAAAAGATACAATTGATGGGTTTCAGCAGCTCAGAGAGAGGGTGTGTACTGAAGAGAGAATTTGCTACTTCACTACAGAATTCCTGCTTTTATAGACGAGAATACATCCTCATTTAGAAAATAGCAATGTGGGTGTACCACATTCTGGCTCCTACAGTATAGTTTTCTCTACTCTTTCAATTCCGTTCTCCCCTTTCCTTTATTATATTTAAGTAACTGATATCTTGATATAAGCATGTTGCTTAAAAAACAACTGCTAATGGTATATTTTGATCAATATCAAATGGAGAAGTGGGAAAAACCCAGATCTAGGAAAATATTTCCTTTTCTATTAGCAACATATCAGGTACACTCAACTTCTATGCTCTGTTTTATGCTCGTTGAACTTTTATTCTTATACCCCAATAAGATACTTGCTTTCCACAATGACAAACATCCTTGCAGACTTTGTGAAAATGGTAAATCCTGAAGTCTTTATCATTACGAAATCCAGGACCTTTTTATAATGTTTTGTATGAGGCTCTTATACGCAGAGTGATCTGTTTTTAAGGAGGGATAAATGATATTACGATCATTGAACCTCAGATTGATTTTCAGCAAATCAAGCATCTTCTTGCTTAAATAAACTTCTTAAAAAGAAAAGGTTGAGGGAGAAGATTCACTGGACAAAATGAACAGTGTACACTCTGGTCCTTTTTAAAGATTTTTTTTATGATTTTTATTTATTTATTTGGCAGAGAGAGAACACAAGCAGGGGGAGAAGCAGGCTCCCTGATTGGCGGGGAACCTGATGCGGGGCTCGATCCCAGGACCCCAGGATCATGACCTGAGCCAAAGACAGACGCTTAACCGGCTGAGGCACACAGGCACCCCTCACTCTGGTCCTTTTAAGTGGATGCTCCCCTGATACCACACAAGCCAGGATTCTCTATCCCTTGGATCACATTTCTTGATCAATTTGAAAACAATTTCCACTCTTAAACAATGGACTGCTTAGAAGTCTTTGAAATACTTGGCAATCATCAAAAGAAAAGTAGCAAGCTTTATACTATTGAATCTGCTGGTTCAGCAGTTGTATAAAACTCTCTGAATAATGAACTGGATTTTTAGTTGAAACAAACTGAATGATGAAGAGTAATAGTGAGCACCTGCTATTTGCTCAGGCAGTCAAGGTGTCTCGCCTTTCTTATTTTATCGTCACATGATGCCAACAAGAACCTCGTCTAAGGCATACAACTGGCAAGGACTGAAATTTGGACCGGCTCCAAAGATATTCTAACAGCAAAACTCTCCAGGAGTGTGAAATCTTACAGAGAATCCCAATTAAAAAAAATCATTTCACATGTGTGAGTGGAGTTTAAATGTATAATACTGAGGTACTAGGAAATCAGTCAAAGAGAACATAACACGTTGTCTCCAGTTTGTTTAAATAAAAGCGACTTGTTTTTTATTCTTTAAGACTTAAAATATATTTAAAGGGAAATTTTAATCAATAAATACAGAATTTTAAGAGAACCCAGTTTAAAAAGTACTGCACTGTAGCCACTGCACCCACCCCCCCAAGGTCATCAACAGCCATGCATTTATATAAACCTCACATTTACATTTCTTCATCGATACTGAGAGCATGAAGCATACTTACGATACTCACCATAGTCACAGAGTACCACCAATAATAGATTTGAAAAGTCTTTCAACATTTGTTTCATTCTGATTAGCAAAATCCCAGGTCTTTGGTCTCCTCATGTCCTTTCTCACATCCAAACTGTGAAATTTTTTTTCATAAACACCTGAAATTAGAATCCCAAAGAAATGATGCCTCTGTTCAATGTGATTTATAAAATAGTAATCATGCTATGGCAAAACCATTCTAAGAAGTCAAACTTCATAGGTGCTACTGAAAAGAAAATAAGGAGCACTCTAATTTTCCCTGGGGAAATGATTTGTAATTGTACGTGTCCCTTTTGTTACATTACAATGCACCTGTTAAGAATATTCAGGTGTGCTCAACACTGAAATTATCTTTGCAAAACACCAAGCCTCTATCTTCATAACACATGCTTAAGTGGAGAGTTTGCTATTTGCTGAATTTCATCAAAGCTAAGAGCCAATCTGGATAATACATTTTCACCTGTTTATTTCCTCAGCATTTCATACCTATCAATTTGCTAAAATTCTGCCAGATATTCATTTTGCATTGTGCTGTACAGACCAGGCTCTCTTCTACCAATGGACTTAACAACCACTGTCTTTCTTGCACAAGTGGTATGTTATCTGGATCGTTTCATTTCTTAATGCTTGGGAGCTGTATCAAAACTAGTAAGCCTTTCAAAAAGATACCCAGTGTATGCAATTAAATGTGAACTCCATGTGATACTGTCTTTCCTCTTTTAGGGGTCTCCAAAGAGAAAACAGATAAATAACAATTATCATCTTCAGTCAGTTTTCCAATACTTGTTGCTAAAATCAGTATGCATCGGGACATTGATGATTTCGTGCAGCTATCTTCCCAGACCACCTAAGAGGGCAGGAAAGACCTCGTTGGCCTGTGCTTCAGAATGATTTGTGGGAGGAGGCATTTAATTTGATATGAACAGACTATTAGATTGTAGAATAAGAGTCAAAGGCACTTGCCAATTTTTCATACTAGTCTAATAAGTGAGGGGCTAATAAACATAACCAACTATATATTTTCTTAATATACATTTTACATATCCCCATTACCCACAGTTAATATATTTTAACAAGATACTATACTTCAAATATATATGTTACATCTCTTCAGAAAAGACAGAAATTACTGGAATTAAAAGGACTGATGAAACAAAAATTCAATGGAAAGAAAACTGATGTGTCTCTATTAGCTTTCTTTCAATGGGAGTTGGTTGAACAAAGGAAACACTGTATTTCCTCAAAGGGAAACAGATTTGAAGTGTAATTAGGCAGATGATTAGCCGGTCCCTCCCCTCTGCTCCCTAACAAAAAAAGAAAATTCCATTTTTCTGGGATTAGGCATAGACTTGATCCAATCCTTTCCTTGAATTTGGGATGGGAAATGTAGCCAAACACAGCAGGTGAGTATCTCCCAGGCAAGCCTAGGCACTTAGGGCAATAAAATGTTTCCTTTTGAGTTTCTGATCTCAGTAATCACAGTAAGGAGAAGTAAGCATTCCCCAGCTCCCAAAAGTTGAACTGGCTCCTCCCAGATTGTTTGCTTTTCCCTGATAACCATTTTTCAAAGAAGACCCAAATCACTACTGATTTTGTGATTGTAACACATTTTTCTTCTAATGAAAATGACCAATAAAACACAGAATAGTGTGATAATCTGTATTTAGAACTGAGTAGAAATATAAAATAAACCAGACTACCTAAAAATCACAATATGGCTTTTTAAAAATATTCTTAAGCTTTTGAAAATAAATGCTTAATTTTTACTAGCTCAATTACTAATTTAAAGACCTGAACAGAGTAACCCACAATGGAATGGAATGCTGGATAAAAAGCACTATATTTGGGGAAAGTAAAAAAAAAAAAAAAAAAAAAGCTCCTTTTCTTCCTCCCTTCCTCTCTTTCTTTTTACCTTGTTTGCTTATTTTCTTCCAACATGTTGTTCCCAATACCAGGACTGGCTACTTACAATGTTTGGCTTGAGAATCGTTTTGAGAAGATAAAAACTTAGGTCTCTTTTATGCACATTTAGAAATACTCCTATATAGCAGTCACACATAAACATGTGCAGAAAGATTCCAAATGCATCAGCTAGAGGGTAAGAGGCAGTCAATATTCTCAGTGGTAATGGCATCACGCCAGGCTCAGTTCCTATGTTTTTGCTGAAACCGGCTAAGATAAATCCCTACAGTGTCTTCATTGCTGCAGAAAAAGAAAAGGAATTAAGCTAAAGTCTATTGGGACCAATGATTTATCAAATAAAAGGGAAAACAAAAGGAAGCAAAGTGATTTTGTCCCTTCTGACAAACACAAGCTCGTGCGTATCTATCTACTACTAATATTTATTAGCAGGAAATCCCTAGTTCCAAAGCAGCTCGTGTAAACAGGCTTTATTTATATATTCAGTGCGGTGGGCTCTTCCCTGGTCCCAGGGATTGGATGCAGCTTCCCTAGAGAGGCTGTAGGCTGCCCACTTCTACAGCTTCCCAAAGGCCCGCGAGTCAAGTTCATGCCTGGAAATCTGGCCCTGCCCAAGTCCTCAGCCCAAAGCTCTCATAAAATGAGGACCGTTTTGAACTTAACTTAAACTTCATAGTTTGTACCCCAGAAAGGATTTCTCTTTGGAAAGAGACAAACTTGTTCTGAAACGCGGAGTACCCTAAGACGCTGTCCTTCAAGGGTCCCCACCGTTCGGGCTCCCCGCCCGTCTGCGGGCAGCCTGTCTCTCGGCAACACCTGCGGAGCCTGGACACCAAGACGCGCAGACGAACGCTTTCTAAAGCGCTTCCCTGGGGCGAAGGCTGAGCCCCCAACGGCGGCGAGGAAGAGGGTGCAGCGCCACCCTGCACTCTCAGCCTGCCGGGAGAGCGGGGCCGACAGGGGCCGGGGGGCACGGTCCGACCCAGCGGAGCAGCGGGGGATCCGCGCCGCACAGCAGTGCCCGAGGGGGCGGGGGTGGGGGTGGGGCGGCAGGCTCTTTCCTACCTCTCGGGACTGGCGGGTGCAGGGGCCGGAGCCGGGGTGAGCGAGGCGGCGAGGCGGTGAGGTGGGCAGGCGGGAGGCCTCAAGGGCCGCGAGGTAGCGTGCCGAGCATCCCGCGTCCCGGGACTGCTCGCCCAGGCCGGCGGCACTCGGCTTCGCGGCCCCACCCGGGCCCGCCCCCGACGGCGCGGGGTGGACGGCCCCAGGGGGCGGGGGCCCGGCCAGCTGGCGAAATCAGCCCCGCCCGCTCTGGGCAGCGCAACTTTCCTCGGGCGCTTTGCCGGGGCCGCGGAGTGGGGAGTTGCGGTTGGGGGTGGTGGGGAGAGGGGGCCCTCGGGGAGCCGGGTACAGCCCCGACGTACACCCACGGCCGGGCCCTGGGCCCAGGGCGAGCCGCAGTCTCCCCACGTTCCGATCCAATCACTTCTCCCCCCGGGGTCGTTTCTTCTGGGGAACCACAAAAGTGAACCATCCGAGTGGCCTCACTGGTGGGCTGTAAACTGGGTTGCCCAAATGGCCTTGAAGAGTCTCAAACGAGAACAGTTCAGGCAAAGCGCATCTTCGTTTAGGTTTTTCTTTCCCCGCAGCCACAGCTGGCTAAATTTAAAAAATGACACCTTAATTCGCAAGTGTTAGTTGTCTTTTTTTTAAAATTTTATTTATTTATTTATTTGAGAGAGAGCTATCACATGTAGGCAGAGAGGCAGGCAGAGAGAGAAGGGGGAAGCAGGCTCCCCGCTGAGCAGAGAACCCCATGTGGGGCTCGATCCCAGGACCCTGGGATCATGACCTGAGCAGAAGGCAGAGGCTTTAACCCACTGAGCCACCCAGGCGCCCCTACAGTTGTATTTTTACAAGAATACTGGAGGATAAGAGTTCCACCTTCACAGCCATGCTTTTCGGTCCACTGTCCTGTGAATACAGTTTACCATTTGCTTTTCTTCTACACAAAACAGCCCATTTAACGGACACCACTAGTGTGCAGTAATAGAAATCAGAACAGGAGTGGCCTCCAGAGAGCAGGTGACGGGAAAGAGGCCCCAGGGGGATGGCAGATATGTTCTGTTGGCTGGGGTGTTGAGTTACATGGATTTAGTATGCATTTGTTAAAATGCCTCCAACTTAAGATACCTACACTTCACTGTAAATATTACCTCAATTTCTAAAACTTAAAAATAAAGCATTTGCAGGTTTTTGAATCTATCACTTAATCTTTTAAAAGGTAACGCAATTACTCAACTATCAGTTATCAGAGGTTGGCTGAGATAGTGAATTTGCTAAGTACTTATCTCGCCCAATAATTGATACTAGCAGTACTAATTAAATCCATCCAAGACTTTACTGACAGAAAGTATCTACTCCAATGTCCATTCATCAGTCCAAGTTGAGATATCTTTTCAAATATATGCTACAGTCCTTGGCATTTTTGAAAGCAAGAGCTCAATAAAGGATGGGGCTTTGGTGAAATAAGTCAATCAGAGAAAGACAATTATATGATTTCTCTGATATGAGGAAACTGAGAGCTGTGTGGAGGGTGAGGGTGGGGGAGTTGGGAGGAAAGGGCACCAGGGAGGGAGACAAACCATAAGAAACTCTCAATCTCAGGAAACAAACTGAGGGTTGCTGGGCAGTGGAGGGAAAGGATAGGGTGATGGGTGATGGACATTAGGGAGGGTATGTGCCATGGTGAGTGCTGTGAATTGTGCTAAGACTGATGATTCACAGGACTGTACCCCTGAAACAATACATCACATATTAATACAAAAGTGAAGGAAAAAAAAAAAAAAAGAATGGGGCTTTGGAGTTAGAGAAAGCTAAGATTAATTCTTGCCCACTTCAGTAACTTTGGCAAATACTTAATCGCTTCTTTCCTCCACTGTAAAAAGCACATAACAGTCGTATGGAAGTTTTGTGATGATTAAGTGAAACAGAGAAAACAACTTGCTCTGCAATAACCTCTCAGACATGCCCTCCCTGGAAATCCACCTTTGGGACTTGGGAGGACCTACATCCAGGTACAAGGGGTTGGATCAATGTGCTGGGACATTTTTTAAATAACAGCTGTAATTTCAATACTTGGTCATTTTTTCCCTTAATTAGAATTCTTGCCAAACTGTGTTTCTGTCTTTATTGCACACTTAAGGCATAATCTTTTCCAAAAGAAGGCAGTGTAGACATGAAGGGAAAAAGCTTCCATGGTCTTGGGATTAACTAAAACAAGCTTCTGTCAAGGTAGCTTTAATTCTTTCTGGGTCAGTGACTGGTCTAGTAATCTTGTGCAAACTGTAAACATATTCACTATCTTGCTGGTATCCTTTATATCCATGGAGAGATCCTTTACTTCCTTAGATAATGCTCTGAAAGAAAAGCTTCAACTTATTCATGATTATCAGGACTCAAGGAACAACACAGATGACCCACTTTTCACACTGTAATAACAAGATCTTACATGTGTTTCAACCTGACTTTTCTGGAGTGCTTCCCACATCATGGATATGCGCCATGTCATGGAATTTGAATAAGACAGAGTATCTCAGACAGGCTGAGCCCTGACAGGTCTGGTTGAAAAGCCTCTTTGGGTGGATGGTAACGGACAGATTTAGGTTTGTCAGTTCACGACACATTATAATCCAAAAATCACTCAAGTATTAATACTCAACTAGGAATCTACCATGTACAATCACTGACCTAGGCCAGAAGAGATTTAAAAGATTCAGTTATGTGACAATCCTTGTACTTTAAAGAAACCCAATTCCTCTCTTTTCTTATGGCATTAAGACAAAATATAGTTCCATAAATGAGACAGATAATATAACTATTACAGAGTTTAGAAATAGTAGAGTTGCGTACTGGAAACAGATTTTTCTAAAGCAGGTGGAAATGAGCAAAGTCTGATTCTGGTTATTGGGCTGGAGGTGATAAGTGAATGGGGAAAAGTAAAGAGAGGCAAGTCTGCACAGTGTAAGGAAATAGGCCCCAGGAATAGGAAGGGACATGCCTCATGTTGTTCCCCTACAAAGCGCCTTCCACCTACTGACAATCTGTTGGTCCTCATGAGCCTCTGTGACAAGCACCTCCTTCCATCTTCAGGTAACACTGTTCACATATCTATTTACCCAACTAGGCCACCTTCCTAAAGGCAGGGGTTGTATCCTATTAATCACCCCCACACACCAGTGGCCACACAGTTCCTCACGCAGCCAATATGTATTTAAAAAATTTTTTTCTTTTTATTTAATTGAATGGGAGGTAAGGTAGGATAAATGGAGCCAGGTTATAAAGAGGTATATACATCAGAGTTCACTCATTCAGTTAATATTTATTGAATGCTTACTGTGTGCCAGGCCCTGTTCCAGGGCTCTGAGGATATATCCATGAACAAACCAGATAAAACTCTCTCCCCTTGTGGAGTTCACAAGAGATCTATCATGAGGGGTGAGATTAGCAATAAATTTATATAAATTCAAGCATACCTAGTGGCCAAAAAACAAAAACAAACAAAAAAAAGGACACACATTTAAATAGTTTAATTACTGGTGTTATAAAAGTCTACTGATGCTATGTAGTTTTTATTGTGTATTGTATGTAATATACTTACTAAGTTCATAATATATTCATATCCATGTATCACTCTACAGGGATTCTAATTTTAAGACTATACAGAGAACTTCATTGGCAATTTAAGAAATCTTCAGGGATCATTTTGAGCATGCTCGATTTATTTCTGAGGCACAGTCTAAAAATCTAAACAGCTTGTGAGTCGTGACTCTACCATACCAAAAGGAAAACACTGAGATTACCAGGCAGAGCATGAGGATGAGGACATGACAAATCCATGTCTGCTCAGGCTAGTCTGGTTAAAGGGAACAAGAGACAGTACATTCATGTGAATACACAAGGTCAGTCAACGATGGACTTCACATCAAGAATTAAAACAAAACAAAACAAAAAACCCCAAAACAGTTCATGAGCCATTTCCCATTGTTTTCTTTTTAAAAAACTAAAACAGTAAGATCTTGAGGTCATAAATAAAGAAAAAAATCTTAACATACTGGCTTATTCTCATTAAAGGTTTATCACTTTCATATATTTTTCAGAGTATTTTAAAAAGAACACGTTAAGAAAAAATCACTTAAAAGTTTTCCAGTAATTTTACTCTATATACATTAATTCTAATCATTTAACCCTGAAAACAATCTTTACTTCTACAATGTAAAAATATTTTTGACAGTGACTAGAAAAATTCCATTACTATAAAGCTACAAAACAAATTTGCTCCTAAGAGCAAAGATAATAAAGCAAAAATAATAATTATACCAGTGATAAGCACCAAGATGATTTTTTTTTGCATTTAGGGCCTGATTGGTTGTATTTAAACATAACCTCTGCAACACCTTATTTGGCAAAAAAAAAAAGGGGGGGTGGGATAAAAAGTATACATACAGAGGTCTGGAAACAGTGAAGAATGCCCACTTTAAAAATAAAACAGTAAAATCATACTTTTTTAATTAATGTGACATTTGCAAAATATATTCATATGTCACTTTTCTTCCTCTTTAGTTCACTTTATACAATTTAGATTGCTCCATTTTTTTTTAATGTGTTGTCACACTAATGTAAATAAATACATTGAACCATGGGAGTCTGCTGTAATGAATCCAAATCATTAAGAGCTAGATCCAGTAGCTCAATCTTAGTTGCAACTCACTCCAACTACTGAGACAGATTACTATTTACCTTTGTAATTTTTTAAAAACCTTAGCCAGATGAGATATCATACGTGTAAGTGTGTGTGTGTGTGTGTGTGTGTGTGTGTGTGTGTGCATATGAGTGTGCGTGTATGCGTGTGCCAGAGCAGTGTGAGTACAACCCAGAAAGAGGAGTGCCATACATACGAGTTTACACAATGGCCTGCACGACACGGGCAGCCAGACACTGAATACCCCTCCAAACAAACCTGAGGCTGAGCAATGAGGAAATGAGGGGATCTGTCATCATATTGCAGAATCAACGACAGGTCTGGAAAATGAAGACAGGCAGGAGGCCTTGGCCGAGACGTTCCCGTGACGCTGGAGGACGAGAAGCAGCGACAGCCACTTTTGCAGGCAGGGATCAGGGGACCGAATCCGGCTGCAGTGGTAGGGATTCCCTGGGTCTGCAGCTGAAGATCCCTGCAACTTCCCCACAGGGCATCTGTCGTGGCCTCTGGCAGTGGCCTCCACCTCACCCAGTGACCTCTATGGGATCCCAGCTTGTGAGCTGGGGTATCCCTTCCTGCTGGTCACAACAGTTAGCTCAATATAGACACTATCCCTTCTGGAGGCTTGGCCGAAAACCATACCTACTTTCCATTTTCAACACAGTTTTAGAAGGGGAGGCTCCTTCTGTCCCTGTGGGGTCCCTGAGTTTGAGGTAATGCCAACACACCATACGCTGGAGAGCAATGATGTAGGAAGTCAGGCAGTCCACTTTAGAACTCAAGCAATCGACATTCAATATGAGCCAGTTTTTGTTATCGCAGTAATATTTCTCAGTGAGATAGCTTCTCTACACAACTTCTAACGAATGGGGTAAAGAAAAAAAAGTATTGCTGGAAGATGAAAGATTTTTTAAAGTGTCTTGTTGAAACTCCTTAAAGGAAGGAAAAGGAAACCAATTACTTGTCCACCTTCTTTGTTCCTGTCCTTGGCTTTCGAGGTCAAAGAGCACCAAGGTTCCTGTTAAGTTACTTAAAGGTTCTCCCGGCCCCTCCGCCCACACAATCCTAGGGAATTCCTCGGCCCTCTACTTTCCAAATTTGTAATCATATCCCTGGGTGTGTCTATACAGCTCATTAATTCAGTTTCAAAATCCACAGCATTTTTTTCAACAAAATGAGATAGTTACATTCTTTAAATGCCAGCCATGAAAACATCATGTGAAAAAAAGAACGAGTTAGATTATATATACGTAAGTCAATGACAATTTTCTCCTTTTTTAAGGTGTATGTTGAAGACATGTTTATGACTGCTTCTTAAGAAAAGCCCTTAGGGAAGGAGCCCCATACAGTGTCCCGCAGTCTGATGCTCTGTCCCTGTGCTGTCAGTTCTTAAGCTATACTCTAGCTATGACTTGCGTCATGAACGCCACCTCCCCAAATGGGCACATTAGATGCAGAGAAAAACTTCATTTATAACTCAGTGAATTTTAGTCACACCAGAAAAATGATCTAACCTGTCCAAACATGCAACTTCTTTCTTCCCCCATTAACTAAACTCCCTTCTTTAAAAAAAAAAAGGTCAGAATGGAGGGTCAAGTTAAAATCCACCATATTTCAGGTTAAACACTGAGAGTAGCATGATTTCAAATTCATAGCAGCCTTCAGTTTTCTGTATTTTCCTATATTTATCCGAAGTAAACTTCCTGGACCATAATATTTAGGGAGAAATTAAAAGGGTTTTATAGTATAGTATAGTATAAAGTTCCAGAAATTCTCAGTTTATCAGGGTTTACTCTGAGCTCAATGTCCTACAACGTTTACATGATACGAGTATGTGAACAAGAAGGATTTGAAATACAAAACCCTTAGCTCTGTGTCATAAATAAATTTGGGTAAAAACGCAAGCCTTCCACTGAATCATCTCGGCAAAGATGGCCCATCTTCTCTGCAAGAAGCAACCTAGGAATCAAGGGGAGATACCACAATCATTTGTCCGTTCAGAAACACAAATACAGTGGTAAGGAAGAGCAAGGACCACGCACTTACCTTTCCTTAGCCAGGAGGACAGACATTCCCACCAGCTTAGCAAACTCTTCTGATGTCAGAGATCCCTTTTCTGAAACCTACCAGAAACACAGCAGAGACAAAAATGTGATAATTTAGGCCAACTAAGTACTCACCTAGGGAGAGTGTCTACCAGTATACTCAGGAAGTAATTTACCGAATTTCTTACTCAAATCCAAAGAATATTCACTATAGAACTAAATCCTCTTCACTAGTGTTTAATTCTACAAATGCTGAAGGACCAAGAGAAACACAGTAGAGCCGAAAAAATATGGTGAAGCCCTCTACAATGTAACGAAGGCTCTATACTGAACTGAAGAAGAACTCTTTGAGATTCTAAAAAGGAACATGTAACAAATTCTGAGTGCATATTTCATGCTCCAGTAAAGGAAACTTATATATAGGTTAAGCTTTAAAATATATGGCAGAAATATCAAGTCTTAAGCCTCAATTTCCTCATCCTCACCTAGTTTAAAATAAGTGTAATAAATACGAATTATTCAAATCAAACAGGCTCACCACAGAGGCTATGAAGGCAGTAATATTTCAAGTCTCCTAATAAGTAATAGTAGTTTGGCCAGTAAAATCCATCTAAACTACAGCTGCTTTTCATGTATTTTTTTAATATTTTATTTATTTGAGAGAGAGAGACAGTGAGAGAGATACAGTGAGAGAGAGCATGAACAAGGAGAAGGTCAGAGGGAGAAGCAGACTCCCCGTGGAGCTGGGAGCCCGATGCGGGACTCGATCCCAGGACTCCAGGATCATGACCTGAACTGAAGGCAGTTGCTTAACCAACTCAACCACCCAGGCACCCCTGCTTTTCATATTTTTTGAAGCAATTATTTTGTAAAACAACTTGTGATGTTTTATAATACCACTTAAGTAGGTGTTACTCAAAGAAAAAATTCTGTCAGGGGTCACATTCTGATCAAGAAAATTGAAAACCTGTCAGTGAGACTGAGCTTCAAACAAAAAGACAGCACCTCACGAATTCCAGTTCTCCCTGGTTAAGTTTCAAAAACTTGAACAATATAATTTTGATTAGTATTTATTCACTGTTAATAATAGGTGTTTTTGGCTGGTCCGAAGGTAGTGAGTTATCTCAACTGATTGTTCACAGGCAGTTACAGATCGAACTCCTTGTTCTACTCTTTCCCCCTTCTCACTACTACACTTGACTAGTAAAAAAAAAAAGAAAAAGTGAAAAAAAAATAGGTGTTTTTAATTGGGTCTACAAACATTACTTTTTAGTAAAGTTAAATTCAAAAGGAAATCCTGTTTCTCAAGTTGCTAGGCATTCAGGTCTTGGTGGGCAGACTGATGAGGAGGAAACAGGGTTCACATACTGTCTCCAAGGCTGAGGCCACCATTTCCTCTTCCTTATGGCTCTGAAGCTCAATTACCATGACGCCACTGTCAAAAACTCGGAGCCTAAAAACCACAGATGGGAGAACAAAGCTGTGAATATCTAGGATCTTCACCCAGTAAGGAGGTGTAGCTACAGCATAACTAAAAAGCTCGCGAATAAGCACTTAATGAAAATATGAACTATAATCCACATGCTGAAGAAAATATGTCCGGCTCTCTTTACTGAACCTGGGGAGAGGAAAATATAATTCTCAGCTGAACATCTGTACTTTTAGATCTCCAGAAACTAACACAAGATGTCTAGCAGAGGGGCTGGTAATTCTGACCTCCTAGGAAGAGCCCACATTCCTCTGTCACTGCCCCCAAGTCAACAAGACTTGGACCACTAGCCCTGATAAGGAGGGAAGCCAGGATGACAAGTGAATTCTGTTCATTTCATTCCAAGAGGGGCAATATGTTGGCTCACCACACAGATGGCAGGCCCAGCAGGCCCTTCCTGTCTACTCTGTATGGAACAGTGGCTCTAGTTGGCAAGCTTCCCGCAGAGGTTCTTTTACCTGAGAGGTAATTTTAGTGCTTCCAGCATCTTGCACGCGTTCACTAAATCTTCTGGTGAGAGCAACTAATAGGAAAAAAAAAAAAAAATCCAGTTTACACTGCAAATTAATAGAGTGATGTTATATAATTATAATGATCACTAAAACACAAGAGGAAACTTAACAATTATCATCTATCTGTGACTTAATCTCAGGGTCATGAGTCAAGCTCCATGCTGGCCCATGGAGTCTAGTTAAAAAAAAAAATTTTTTTAAATAAAAACATAAAAATTATCATTTATCAGGGATTTTAGGTGGCTTCATCACTCTAAGGCAAAAAGAATTAACAAAGAAGCAAAGCAGCGCTATCTAACAGAAAACAGCACAAGCCATGTGTATAATTTTAATATTAATAAAATATTAGTAGTCATTAATAAAATAAAAAGGAACAGGTGAAATTAACTTTAACACATGTGTTTCATTTAACCCAAGAAATCTAAAACATCAATATATAATCAATATAAAAATTATTAATGAGATATTTAACTTCTTATTTGGTACTCCTAGATGTGGTATATAATTGACACTTCTAGCACAGCTCCATTTGGATTAACTGTATTGCAAGGTCACAGTTGTCACACGTAGCTAGCTAGTGGCCACCCTTCCAGACCACACAACCTTAAAGAATCAGCCCAGCATGGTGGCTGACAAGTACAGCTTTGAGTCACCCAGAATGGCTCCAGAGCCAGCCCGGCCTGGGGCCACGTGCCTGTCAAACCACTGTTTCCAAGGCACAGCCTTGGTCAAGTAAGTGAATCTTAGTGAGCCTCAACTTCCTCATCTTCATATCATGCCCTTGATGGGCAGAGTGAGAGTAGCTACCTCCCTGGGGTACCACGAGAAGAAATGGGGCAGTGCGTGCAGAGCGCCTGGTTCATAGTCAGTACTCACTGACGGCACTCACGGTGACCAGTCAGATGAAGACACAGCAGAAGCTCAAATATACGGTGCTGCAGTGAGCACTGGAGGGACAGGTCTATGAGCTATTCGCACAGAGGCAACTACTGACACCACAAAACTGTGTTTGACTAAAGGGCACGAAGAGTGCACGGACAGAACATGGGGGGCCAAGGACACGTGGGTGTGAAGAGACAATGAGGGTCAAAGAACAGCCACTGCTGATTCAGAGCCCGTGGAGGAGGGCAGCTTTCCCCCGGCTTCTCCACAGACCATCTGTCTCCAACCCAGTGAATCTAAAAACAGCTGACAACCCCAGAGAAAAGACATCATACACAGGCTTATTAATCACAGTATGGGCACGGAATGGTAAAGCCAGAAGGTATCAGTCAACCCAAATTCCCATTTCAAAGGTAGGGAAACCGAGTCTCAGTGAGGTTCAGCGAGCTACTCCAGGTCACTAAGCACAACACTGGCAAAACAAGGGACAGAGACTTCCTCCCAGATCCCAAGGCAGTAGAGCACTCTTGTACTACACCACACTGCTTCTCAGAGAGTTCTGGTATTCTCAACCCTTCCTCAAATTGTATTCACTTTGGGGAATTTGTGTTATATTAAGAAAGTCTATATTTAGTTAAAGAATATCTAAATGTTCTATTCTTACTTCCATTCCTCGAGCTCGGTTTACTAAACAGTACACCTCCGTGAGTGACATTATTCCCCCTCGTTCCTGTTAAAATATGGAATTTAGCAAGTATTAGGTTATAATTAGCACCAGTTGGCATTTCTTTTTTTTTTTTTTTAATTTATTTATTTCACAGAGAGAGATCACAAGTAGGCAGAGAGGCAGGCAGAGAGAGAGAGGAAGGGAAGCAGGCTCCCTGCTGAGCAGAGAGCCCGATGTGGGGCTCGATCCCAGAACCCTGAGACATGACCCGAGCCGAAGGCAGAGGCTTAACCCACTGAGCCACCCAGGCGCCCCACCAGTTGGCATTTCTTAACAGAAATCAGAATCAGAGTGAAATCAGGAATCATAGAACTTCCTAAAAAGTCTTTAAAAGCTAAATTTACACACAGGAAAACCTAGTCAGATACATGAAGTATTTCAAATTCAGTATGTGGATTTTAACATCATTATTACTGTTTTAACATTTACTTCAATGAGAGGAGGGCCTCTACACCACGTTTCAAAAAGTGTATTGAAATGTTTTAAATTATTACAACTAATAAATGAGTAAACTATGGAATTAAACAGGAATATCACCACTGTAACCCTAAATGAAGTTAACAGATCTAGCTATTGAATAGCAGGGGCTGCTGCTACATCACAAAAAAAAGACAAACAGGCATTATGTACCCCCTGATGGAAATGCACAGCACCCTCTATGAAATATTCAACAGAAAAAAAGAAAAAAGAACTTCTAGCTGTAAATTCCAGTCTATAAGGAATAAATTCCAGACTATAAGGAATACATGATTTAAAATCAATAAAATCTGAGACACTCTATAATATAAACCACTAGCTTCTTTAATAAATATATTATGTGGAATAGAAAAAAGAGATAAGAGAAGGGGAAACATGGAATTAAAAAAAAAAAGGCGTTGAGAGAAAAATCAACCGATTGCAAGGTAACCTGATTTGAACAAACTAACTGTAAGAGAAAATGTGAATACTAACTAGATATTTGAAAATACTAAAAAATTATTTTTCACTTTTCCTGTGTGAAACGGGACTATAATTACATATAAAGCATGTTTATCATTGTAATTACATACTGAAAAGTTTACAAAGTGATGCGATGTCTGGGATTGCTTTAAAGTGATGTTGAGTGAAGGCTGCTTACACACGAGCCTGGATGACAGGCACACAGGGATTCATTATACTATTCTATTTTGTCACAATGGAAATACTTCTTAACATAAGCATTTTAATGAATGGAGTTTTGATTGCCTGAGTAATGTCAGAAGATAAATCTGTATTATGAGATGATTAACAGCACACTTGTATTAACATCCAAACATCTAAACGTCTCTAAACATCTCGAGATCATATATTTCCTTTTGAAAATCAGAGATAAGAAAAACTTTCTATCAAAGAGACTGAAGAAGTTACAGATACCTGAGGTGGAAATTGAAAACAATCTAGATTTTGACAACAAATCCACGAATAAGTACACCAAACTGATTTAATATTCCTAAAAGGAAAAATAACATGTGGGTTGAACAGTAGCAGTGCTGGGAAAGGAACGTGAAGCTGGTGTTTAACCTTCCGATGACTTGGCAGTTACTTCACACAACTGAGAGCCTGCCTGCGCCCTGTTTTTACCTCTAACGGCACCTGCAGCATCCCAGCCAGCTGCTTGGCCAGCTGCATGTGGTACTGTGTGCCCGAGCCGCAGGTTTCCCTGGTAACTGGGTTGGCTATTCCCATGCTCAGCAAATAGGACTTAAACCTGATGGTCTATAAGTAGAGAAGAAAATGCATAAAAATACAAATAAGCGGCATTCATCTCTCCACCCCAACATTTGAAATCTTTCCACCGTAAACTCAATTCTACTAGTTATTTCTATATCCATCCATTTCTTCCACCTTGTTCCTATAGTATAAACTCGAAGAAACTGGATTTCTAGGAGTTCCCTGCATAAAGCTAATTAATTAATCTTCTTCCCTCTCCTGTCTTGATATTTCATACTCCACTGACCTTACAGGTCTGGAGTGAGAAGAGGGTTAGGAAACAACTGTGCTGTATTTAATGCCAACCAAATGACAGAGCCAAAAACTTAGAAAGGAACGTGGCTGGGATCAGCCTGGAGACAAATTTAATGAAACAAATATCAAACATATGGATATGTATCAAACAACCACTCCTTACACATTTCACTATCTCTCTTTTCTTCAGCACCTTCTCTTAAGAGAAGAGTACCACTCCAAGAGAAGGTACTGAAGTATCTTTTAATCCTACTGGCTGACTTTTTCTTTAATACTTTCATATATCCACAAGCCCTAACAGAAATCACTACATTAAGAAAGAAACTGCTGACCCACCAAAACATCACTGCATTATTTGTCCAATCTGGTTTCTAATGCCTTAAAAAGGCAACCTATTTACCTCATCTTCTGTGATGTCACCTTGCTTGTCTTTGATCTTATTAGCAATTGATTTTGATAACTCCACCATTTCCTTAGCCTGTCAAGAGAACAGTAAAAGACTGGAAAAAATCATGTCCCCAAAGTGTCTGCTAACAAAACTCCTATCATAATCGGTAGGAATCCAACAGGTGTAAAGTACACATACCTTGACCATTAGCTTGCTGAGGTCTTCAAAGGCCTAGAAATGAGAAATGAGTTTTTGTTGGAATCTATCTAAAGAACTAAAATGTTTTAAAGCAATGGAATACTCTATTTTCTTCCCTTAGACAAACATTTTTGAAAATGTCCTACAAATATCAATTTATACAAATATTTTTTTTAATTTATACAAATATTTACATAAGTAATAAACCCATCTTATTCTAAGAATTTGATTTAGCTAAGAAACCATACATTTTCCAAAAACAAACTGCAAAAAAAGACTTTTTACATTTTCCAAGAGAAAACAGTTATTATTGACTAAACAAACAAAGGGTGACATAAGTAATACATTGTTGAGAAAAATATTATTTACTGTTCTTTCACACAAGTAAGAAAATTTGTCACTGGTTTTTCCCCAAACCATTTCCTGACGGGAGGTCAAGAATCAAAGGCTTTGTGATGCTTTCCTGGTGGAAAATGGCAATGTGCAGTTGCCGGAATACTTCCTTGGGCACAACAATTTTGGCTTTCATAGCAGGTGTGATTTAACTGAGACTGAAAACCTCAGCCTCTAAATATTGAACAGTTTATACTTGTAGCCTTGGATATAGTGGCTATCACAAAAGAAAAACATTCAAATACCACCCAAACATACTTATATAAAACTCATCGGTAGTTTGATTTCCTACAATGAATATCCACTTCAAAGTCTTCCTCAAACTTAATCAGACATATTTATAATAAATTTATTTCATGTGGCCAAAACTATACTTCCAGTAACAAATGTCTTCCAAATGATGTGCACGGACATTATTTTTTAAACCAATTAAGCAGCTTATCATTAAATGAAAAATCTTTTGGGCCATAGAGAATAGTGGTCCACAGATTCTGATTAGCTCATGCCCATCTTAATTACAGGCAGAAAAGTATCCCCCATCTGCAAAAGGATTTTGCTAGAAGAATAGAGTGCTGTGTGAGATTCTTATGGCCAGACTTATTAAGGCTAATACTGAAAACAAAGGGTAATGTGCACACACCTAACAGGAATTTCCTCAGATAAACAAAAGGCTGAAACACTGGATTCTTATCAGCAACAGCCAGCAGATGCAGGAAACCTTTTGTGGGAAATTCTGGGCACCAGCTCTGAAGCTAAGTCAGTTCTAACATTTAAATGGAAGGCAAATAACACACCAACCTAGTTTTCAAAAATAAAACACACACACACACTTTATACACTTAGATTCTTACTTCGAATATACAAAATATTGATAGACTTCTCTTACTTGTGTAAAGAAAACTAGTAAGAGAACACTTTTTAAAATTTTATGGTAAATCTCTTTATTTACTGTGTTACATTTTCATATAAAGAATATGCTAAAAGTAACAGTGACTCTACACCAAATATAGAATACATAAATTAGTGCTATTTCTTACAGTCCATAAAAAATAAATACAAATATTTTAGTATGTTAGAATACCTATATTTTAAGTAATCATAAAACACAAAAATTTGGGTGCCTGGTGGCTCAGTGGGTTAAGCCACTGCCTTCAGCTCAGGTCATGATCCTGGGGTCCTGGGATCGAGTCCCACATCGGGCTCCTTGCTCAGCGGGGAGCCTGCTTCTCTCTCTGCCTCTCCCTGCCACTCTGCCTGCCTGTACACTCTCTCTCTCTGGTAAATAATAAATAAAATCTTAAAAAAAAAAAAAAAACACACAAAAGTTTCCTTACTTCTATCTATATTATTGTTCTAAAATTTGGAATTTGCCAATTATCTAAAAAATAGAGAAACTACCCATAATGAAATTAAAGCAACATACACACAAATGCAAGATAGATACATTTGCCCATTCTATCATTTTAACTGCCTCTTTATTGAATCATCTATCCCTCTGCCATAGTCACAGTCAAATCTCCACTCCAATTTAAAAAAAAAGGGGGGGGGGCATCTGCTTTAAAAGTAACCTTATAAGTTGATTTATCGCATTATTTCTTGCTTTCAGTCATTATTTTGGTTATTAGCTTTAGTAACTATCAATATATTCTTGAATTTTCTGTTTCAGTTTTATTGTTTTTTAAGAGACTGTATGTTTGTATGTTTGTTTTTTAAGAGACTGTATGTGCACATGCTCGGGAGGGGCAGAGGGAGAGGGAGAGAAAGAGAATCCTAAGCAGACTCTACGCTCAGCCCTGAGCCAGTGCAGGGCTCAATCCCAGGACCCTGAGATCATGACCTGAGCAAAAATCAAGAGTTGGATGCTAAATCGACTGAGACACCCAGGTGCCACCCCCACCCCTGCCTCAAGAAAATCAAATTTTCTTGATTCTTTACCTTAACTTATTCTGTTCCCTCTACCTGGATCCTTTTACCCCTACTAGTCATCTGCCAGTGACTGCTAAACTTTCAGGCCTTGGCTTCCATTACATTTGCTAACAAGGCCTCTCTGACACCCAAAGAAGTAAGAGGCCATGTAATATGTTCCTGTTGCACCCACTGTTTTCTCTACCATGGCATTTTTCCCACTGTAGAGAACACCTGTTTGCCTGCCTGTCTTGCACTGTCGTATCTAGAACATCTACCTGATGTAGTACCTTTGCGTAAGGTACTACTTGCACAAAGTAGAGAGCAAGGACCACCTGGTGAATAAATCACTGACCCAGGTGAGAGAACACAATGATTGTGTTAAATCCTTTGAGCTACGCAACTGTGTGAAGATTAGATTGAAACGGAATAGCATTTCATAAATTAGGAAAAACATGATTTTGAACACCACATTAGCATGGCACCACTCAGAAAAATACTAGTAATTCAAAATCAGTTCACTGCTCTATGCCATCTCCATAAGTGTCACACAAAAAGATGACAACAAATGTCACCGAACTAGGACAGTGATGATAGTACCTTCCAAATGGCAAAGAGAGGGGCCATGACATAGGAGGACCACACTTGTCTGCAAATCAGGAGACCTGAGTTCTCACACTCTGCTTCCAAAGCTAGTCACTAGCTCTGAGATGATTACTTCTCTGGATAGTGAGAACCCCTGTAATGCCAAAATGCTGAACTTTATGAATTTAAAGATTCTGGGAAAATGATGGCTATGGCAGCAAAGTTTTTGAATCTCTCCAAATCCCAACATAAAGACAGACAGGGCAACTAGATCTCAAAACCAAAAATCCACAGGCAGCATATACTGTAAAACTAAGTGACAAGATAGCAATACAAAAACCTGAAGATACAAGCAGGTAGGGACAAACCATGAAGAGCCACAAGATCGGCATGCTCTCCGCCTCTAAGAAGGAAAAGAAAAGGGAAGCAACAGGGCAAGTGATGGCTTCCACAACAAGAGAACCCCAAAGGAGTCCACAGGTGTCACTGGAAAGAGAGTCTAGCCAATGTGAGGACAGGAACTGAAACAAGGAGGTTTTCGCCCACTTCGATAATGGTGGGTATGAGGGGTTCTCAGGAAGGGCTGGCCCTCCAGTCTTCCCTTCCAGGAGGGGATCCTACACCAGGGAGAAACCGCTAACAGAGGATTCAAAAACTGAGCAAGATAAGAATAAGAAGAGAGGAAGGGCAAAATAAAGGTCCAGATAAAAATAGGGGAAAAGAATATAGGGCCAGGAAATCAGAAAGCAAGCCATCACCTTTTTTTAATGCTGCATGAACACAGGAGAAGAGAGAGTTCTATAGAAGAGACAAGCTACCTAGACAAGCTACCAGGCCTTCCTCTCAAAGTTCACGAAAACTAACTTCACATGAAAAATAGCAAAGTATCAAGGTCAAATGTCACACAAAGTTATTATAGAAAAAAGAAAATAAGGAGTAGAATAATATTACAGACAACAAAAGCAAGCTGGAAAGACATGCTCACAGATCAGATAAAAATTTAACCTTTTATTTTCGACATGAGCTAAAAGATGTTAATAAAATGACATAAGCCGTGAATGGATAAAATAAATCAGAAATGAAGTGACATTATTCAAGAAAGAATTTTTGAAAGAATCATTTCAGAAATAAAGACTATATTGGAACGTAAGAATGAATAAACACAACAGATAGAATCTTAAGAGAAACAACCGGTTAGGAAGAAGGAAATTTCCTAATAAAAAAGAAATGAAAGAGATTAAAAAAGGGTTTGAAAGTCACAAAGTGGGGGGAGACACCTGGGTGGCTCTGTTGGCTAAGCGTCTGCCTTCGGCTCAGCTCATGATCCCAGGGTCCTGGGATCGAGTCCGACACTAGACTCCTTGCTCAGCAGGGAGCCTGCTTCTCCCTCTGCCTGCTGCACCCCCTGCTCTCTGACAAATAAATAAATAAAATCTAAAAAAATAGAAAGTCACGTAAGGTAAAGCTAGGAAGTAGAACTGTAGCATACAGCTAATAGTCTCAGAGAGGAAAAATAAAAAAACAATTATCAAAACTTATAAAATTTTTAAAAATTCCCTGAAATTAAAAGAAACAATTTCTAGAACCAAATACTAAGAGCATATTGTGTACCTGAGAATAACAATCCAGAATGACTAACACATCAACACATTCTAGCAAAATTACTGGGCTTTATAAAACAGAGAGGGGGAAAAAAGCCTCTGGGCATCTAGGGAAAACAGTGACTTCTCAGGTAATGGCTGATTCCAAATCTGGGGCAGGAAATAAACAAGCGGGTCCTGGAACTTTTGCCACCCTAGATAGTAAGGAAGCTACCAAAGTCCACCAGGTCCCGTCAAAAGCACTCAGGAGCCAACCTAAAGAGGCTCCCACTGCCAAAGATGGGACAATATGAGCTTTAAACAGGATAATAACTGCAACTGATTGAAACTCATCAAATATGTTAAGATTTGTAAATTCATACTACTATGTAAAAAAACCTCTAATGAGTTGCCATTAGAGGATGATAAGGAACCAATTTATTACCCTGATGATAAAGAAAAAGGCACTTACTCTGCTTCCCTGTATGAACTACATCACTGAGTAGTCAAATAGTAGATGATGGGAAGCATCTCTTCAAAATGTATTCTAACTAACAAAAAATAAATCCTAGAATATCACCATTTGTAACCTCTGGTGGACCAGCAGAAGTAGGCAATGAACATGAACAGCTGCTGCCATTGTCCACAAAGACGTGGTGTGCCTCCTTAGGAAAGAATACAGCATCATCGCTAGTCTCAGCAAAGAGATCAAACATGCATCTGATCAGGCCTCTGGATCCAGCTGCCATTTTGTAGGAAATACTCAGAGCTGAGGAACACATACAACTTTACCATATAGATGAGACCAGCAAAACCTAGACCAAGGGCACTTAATAGGTCAAATGACCTTGGTTTCTCAAGGATCTGTATTTTCAAGCTAGTGGGCCCAGAACTGGTAATATGGTGGTTAATTTTATATGTTGACTTGACTAGATCATGGGGTGCCCAGGTTCTTGATCAAACATGGCTGATGGGTCTGTGAGGGTACTGCCACATGAGGTTAGCATGTGAATTGGTGGGCAGAAGCAGAACTACCCTCCTCACTGGGGGTGGGCATCATCCAATCCACGCAAGGCCTGAACAAAGGGTTGGAGGAGGGGAGGACTCATGCTTTCCCTGCCTGACTGGTTAAGCCAAGACAGTAGTCTTACGCTGCCCTTGGGCTGGACCTAAACCACCAGCGTTCCTGGTTCTTAGGCCTTCGGACTCAGTTTAGGATTTCTATCACCAGCTTTCCTGGGTCACCAGCTTGCAGGAGGCAGATTGTGGACTCTTCAGTCCCCACAATCACATGAGTCAATTCCTTATATTAAATGGCATTGTATGTGTATATATAGAGCAAAGGATACATTGATATCTACATCTATATATCGATATCTATATATCTACTATTGGTTGTTTCTTTCGAGAATATTGAATTCTTGATTAATACAGGTATCCCATAACTATCTGCAGTTTAGACTTTGATTGATATACCACCTTTGAAATTCTATGAACAGCACTAGTCAATGGGATTTTACTTATAAACTTGTATTAAAAATTAAAGAATTATTTCATAGAGTCATTTCATAAAAAATCCCAGACCAATTTTATATAAACACAGGAAGACCAATGACATGCTCTGATATAGTAGCTAACCGTAGAATCTAGCATGCGTAACTGCTTAACTAGACTGCTTTCCCTTTCACTTGCATTTCCTCAAATATGATGAAGTTGCAGAAACACCGCAAAGTACATGCTCACGGCTGTTCTCCTGGTGGAAGGGATGGGCTGGTCTGTGCCTTTCTTATTGTGTCTGTGTCTGGTCCCTGAGCATCAGTGGTAGAAAACTGTGTGGTGTCCGGCAAGGTTAACAGCCACAGAACAGCATTTTCCCCTCAACTAAGTTAACCAAAAGTCCAAATAATTATACAGAGGACCAGAACTCATTAGGAGGATTCTCCAATCAATTCCATCTAGGTTTTAAAATTTACACACAGCAACCCACAATGTTTTCTAACATCACAGAAAACAAATTTGAGTTTCATTTTTCTTTTTGGAAAAAGTTTTTTAAAACATGTTTTAACCAAATCATATCAACCTGAAGGAGACTTGGAATAAGAGATTGTGGCTTCAGGCAAACTAAACATATTCTAATACACAGAATGGAATTAGTCACAGCTACATCCAAAAGAATATGCACAAATGGCCAAAAAAGCTGACCGGAACTTATATATTAGTTACCTCAGAAATGTTTTTGTCCGTTTCTTTCCTTTTTTCTTCCAATTTCCTTTCAATGCCTACAATTCCTACAGCCCTTATTCTTCCTGGCTGAAAAACAAAAGTAGAAAATAAAACATACAAAATAGGAAGGACCCACTCTTTTACAACACACCACAATGTGTTTTCAATGGCGGGAAGGGACCCACAAAGAACCAAAGAAAACCAGCACACGATTACATCTGGTTTCCTTTCAAAACATTTATCAGTTTCTTGTCATACATAATGATTTTCAAATCATTATTAAAAAAACTAAACATACAATAACTGGCATATTTTACCCTGTATTTTAGATATAAGTTAAATTCATGTTTGTTCTTTGGCAAGCTATTATGTATGTATCAGATATTTTGTAGGGTCTCAAACAGGCAAGAAATTGTAGTTAAAATTTTGGTATTTGACAGTTATTATACAAACTACTTTCACACATTTGAGTGTCTGCGCATGGTTGGTGGTTAATTTACACTGGCTGAAAAACATCACCCAGAGGCATTGTCCGTTCTCTCAGATGCCACACTGATTATGAAGAACAGAATGTAACGAACAGAATCTAACTTCTACCACCCCAAGAATCACTCTGGTAACTGGTCGTTTATTTTTGCTAAGTGTCTGCTGTCTGCAGAGCACTAAATTAGGTTCTATGAATACAAACGATTTTAATCAGAATATCATTATTTTGCTTCTGGCAAAGTTCTATAATCACAGAAATCTTTTCCTTTAATGAAGATGCAAGTACAGAACCAAACATATTGGATTAAGAAATAGTCTTAACAATACCTGGGGTCCTCTATTTGTTTGCAATGATTGGGAAACTGGCATATTCTCCCATCTTCTCTGTGTCATTTCCTCAGATAAACGCCTGTAAAACTGTTGTACACATATATTCACTTTAAGTGAGTCAGTCAGGTTAAAATATCCTCATAGAAATCATTACTTAACATTTCTTTAGTTGAAAGTCCTGTTCAGTCATTTGCAACAAGCCTAGAAGTCTCAGAAACATCAAAGGAAACCAAAGGAAGTTCGCTTCTTGGATCAGCTTCATAAAGCACAAAGGAAAAAAAAAAAGAAAGAAACTGACCTTCTATATAAAGTGAGCTATTCTCAACAAAGAGATGAGTGACAATGAATAAATAGACCTACTTTAAACAATCCCACATATGTGGATTGTTTTCAATCTATAGTGAAACAGATATAGTGCCAAGAAAAATATACAACCATTATCCATGAAGGAAGCAGAGAATAATTTGTCTAGGTAAAATGTGAAGCCAGAAACTAGGGCCAAAACATCCCTACACTCACAAAAAATCAACTATATTGTTTAACTACAGTGAGAATGATTTCAGTTAGTCGCTTATATTTGCTTAGTGCCTACTGTGTGAGGAGGGCTGGGTGAAGTGCCATAGAAAACCACATAAATAATTTAGGGTATCAATGAGGAGATAAATACGTACTTGTAAATGTCTGAAGAATACTTATCCAGTGACTTACTAATCAGAACATGTAAACTATTATACTATGGAGTAAGTACTTCAGTGATTAGATTTGTGTGGAGTCAGGAGGAAAGACATCCTGCCTTAAGGCTGTGAGCTATCAGATACTGAGAGGGTTCAACATTTCACTGCATTATACTCTGCCTCTTTAACCAAACCACTGAAAACTTAACTAGTAGCCTAATAGCATTGACTTAGCATAGTTCCAGCTTCTGCTTTTTCCTTGGAACCACACCCTCCAGCCTCCAATTCCCACCAAAACCTAAACCTCATATTTTCTACTGCTAAGGCTTAAGATATAAAAATTTTATTGTAAAAATATGGTGAAACCTGGTATGTTGAACAGTAACAATTTACATCATATTAACAAACAACAACAAAAACACACACAAGCACACCTTTCTAGTCCAATTTTACGCATATAAAAACCTACCTCAATCTGGCCATGTTCTTTGAAAGAGAGTTTGATGTAGGAGTTCTTACTGCTCTGGAATGGACCGGGTTCTTTGTTGGGTGGAGCTGGGTGAAGATGAACCACTATTTTGGCACTACAGAATAAATGTAATGAATTTAATTACCTTTTAAGAATCACTAATTCTGTCTTCATAATTTTTAATATAGTTAAGTTCACTTTTAAAATTTATATACATCCTGAAAGGAATCCTTATAAACTGTGTATTAATTCAGTATTAATGAAACTTTCAAAAACACCTCTACTCGGTCACCTGGGTGGCCCAGTGGGTTAAGCCTGTGCCTTTGGCTCAGGTCATGATCCCAGGGTCCTGGGATCAAGCCCCACATCAGGCTCTCTGCTCAGCAGGGAGCCTGCTTCCTCCTCGCTCTCTGCCTGCCTCTCTGCCTACTTGTGATCTCCCTCTCTCTGTAAAAACAAAAACAAAACAAAACAAAACAAAAAACCAAAACACCTCTACTTACAGCTTTTAAGCTCTGAACCAAGAAGTTCAAGTTACCAGCTCTAGATTAAAAATGTGGTTTCAAAAAAAATAAGTTCAAAATAAATTGGCCAAATGTGTGACAGTTCATTATTTTGGTTTACGATTAGGGTTTTCCATGTACAAAGTCAAACCCAAAGGTTACCAGGGGGCCTATACTTTCTGCCAAAGCATACTACCCTAGTCATTTGAAAACAAAATGTGAAAACTTATCTGTGTAAAACTGGCCAGCTGACATTTTATTAAAACTCCATCCAAAACTAACATTCTACAGTATCATTTTTGGAAAACGCCACTCAATCAACAGCATGATCTAGAAGATAATCCAACAGCAAAAACAAGTCTCAAAATGCTGCTACGCTAGAAACACAAACTACCATAATCTTTATGACTACCGTTGTCTCCTGTGCTATTAAAAATACTGGTATATTTGTTCAGTTTTGTAAGTCTTTTTCCCTAACCTGCTCAATAAACAGTCTGCTTCCATAAATTAGCAAAACCAAAAAACTCAGTCAAAATACTTTGGATATGCAGTGTAGAGCTTTTCCCTTATGACCACATTACAGTTCCACTTATTTATTATTCTATTTCCTTCAGGTCCATTTGATTCCTAAATATCGCTGTGAAACTGAAACACCGTGTGTGGGGCCTCGTCAGTGTAATAAATGCTTTGGTTAGTAAACTGGGGCCAGACTTGTAAGGACTCTTCACCTATTCCTTTGTGGTGAACTTCTTTAAGTGACTGAGCAAATAAACTGCAGTCACTGTAATAGGACTGTCTGACATGAACTGTCAGGTAGAGCAACCAAATACAACAATCAGGTTAAGGGAACTGAGCAAAGAATTACATAATCTTTAAAACAGAAAAACCTGAGCCCCACGATCAGATTTTGTCAAAGGAAACTCAGTGAAGAACTGAAGATTATAAGACAAAGTGAAGTTTAAAAAATCTCCAAGTCGGCAAAAAAGATCCAGGCCAGTTTTTAAATATATTCATTTCGCAGGTCATTCAATTACCATATCTCAAGTTTAAAAACCACCCAATCAGAGAAGGATCTTGGGAGGAGACAGGTTAAAAGGTGAAACTATATGGACAATTTTGAGTCAATGAAATATGGTAATTGCTTGGGGCAAGGGGGCCGAGAATAAAGAGAATATCCGAGAAATGTTTACGTGACATATTATTAAATTCTTCCTCACTGGAGATGTTTAAAAAATAAGATACTAATGGGAAGGTAAACATTTTTTTTTTTAAAGATTTCATTTATTTGACAGAGAGACATGGCGAGAGAGGGAAGACAAGCAGGGGAAGTGGGAAAGGGAGAAGAAGGCTTCCTGCTGAACAGGGAGCCCAATGTGGAGCTGGATCCCAGGACCCTGAGATCATGACCTGAGAAGAAGGCAGACACTTAACAACTGAGCCACCCAGGCACCCAGGAAGATAAATATTTTAAACAATTTTTGTTATACAGTTTAAATTTTCTTGGAACACAGCAGAGGAAAATTCAAATGATTTTCAACACCTTCAAGTTTTACTTTGTAGAACTTAAGAAAAGCAATATACACAAATATCGCATCATTATGTTGTGCACTCGAAACTCATACAATGTTGTATGCAATTGTACCTTCATTAAAAAAAGAAGAGGGGTGCCTGGGTGACTCAGTGGGTTAAGCCTCTGCCTTCAGCTCAGGTCATGTTCTCAGGGTCCTGGGATGGAGCCCCACATTAGGCTCTCTGCTCAGCAGGGAGCCTGCTTTCCCCTCTCTCTCTGCCTGCCTCTCTGCCTACTTGTGATCTCTCTCTGTCAAATAAATAAGTAAAATCTTAAAAAAAAAAAACAAAACTCAGATGGAAAAAAGTGAAAAAGAAAAATAAAAATTATAGAAATCACCTAAAGTCTGTACTTTTATTAATCTTTCAGTTTCTTTTATGTCAAATAAACAATCTTGCACGCTAGCTATACACTATAACTAACGCATGCATTGCATTTTCAGTGAAGTTCTGTATTTGTTTCACCTCTACTGAAATAACTATACTAAAGCTCAAAATGGGCCCACAAGGAAAACAAAATTCTTATCAGCAATACTTGTTCATAAGTTGCCCTCAATTACATGCACTTAAAATAAAAGCCAGATTTTTCTGTACTTGATTAAAAAGAAACATTTTAACGTGCGGCTTTAAACCAGGGTGATGACATGTCCTGGTTTGCCTAAAACTGTCCCATTTTATGCTTCCTTGATCCAATTATAAACAGCACCCCCAGGGCACCTGGATGACTCAGTCAGTTAAGCATCAGACTGTTGGTTTTAGCTCAGGTCATGATCTCATGGATCGTGGGATCAAGCTCCTCATCCAAACTCCTCTTTGGGCTCCGTGCTCCGTGGGGAGTCTGCTTGAAAGATTCTCTCCCTCTGCCTCTCCCCTCACCATCCTGACTTGCTCTCTTGCTCTCAAATAAGTAAATCTTTTAAAAAAATGATTAAATATAATAAACAGCACCACCTATTACTTTTATAAATGTCCCAGTTTGGACAATAAATATTATGAAACTCTATTTAACACTGATATCCAAAGATGTCAAAGTGAAGAAACTTAATGATCAACTAGAAATAGGAGTAAACTCAGTCATTTTTCTCGGTTGAGTCACTTCTGATTTTAAGTACTAGATTCACAGACATGTCAAAGCGAATGCTTGTGGAAAGACATGCAATGACAGCTGGCCGACACTTACTTATTTTGACCCAAGGATATTACAGCAAATCGTAGTACTTAATTTGTCCATTTATCCATGAGTTTAATGTAGTAAGTATCTTCCTAGGGGAGCTTCTGACCAACGACTATTCTTTATAAAGCCCCCCAAAACAATCATTAGATTCATTCCCACATATGCAGTCATGGCACAACAATAAATCTACCAAGTTGATAATAGCTTGACTGGGACATTTTTGTGAAAAAAGACTGCATCAGAGACACCTCACCTTTTCCCAATTCCAGCTGCCTGTTCTTCAATGAACACGATTTGGGAAAGAGGAATGGCCATGCAGCACTCCTAGAAGGAAACCATACAAAATGTGATTCATAAGTCTCCTTGTCAGAAAACCTTGTTTTATAGTATTTAATAGAGTGTCATGCACCTGTACTTAATAATAAAAACAATTTAAAAAATAATAAAATGATTTTATTCCTTAAATAAACTGAAGGAAAATGGAATGAAAACAGTAATGTGGTGGCATTTTGCCACATGGAAGAATGTAAGAGTTTTAAAAGCTGGGGGCGCATGGGTGGCTTAGTGGGTTAAGCTTCTGCCTTTGGCTCAGGTCATGATCTCAGGGTCCTGGGCCCCACATCGGGCTCTCTGCTCAGCAGGGAGCCTGTTCCCCCCTTCTCTCTCTGCTTGCCTCTCTGCCTACTTGTAATCTCTGTCTGACAAATAAATAAGTAAATAATCTTTAAAAAAAAAAAAAAAGCTGCTGCAACCATCTTCGTTTTTAACATAGGTACATCTTTTTAAAAGTAGTATTTATATGAAAACTTTTTACATGTAAGCTATCCTTCTATGGAAAACAAAAAAAAGAAAAACAGAACAGGTAAATCAAAACAACTTTAAGGAGTGCTATACAGGTGATCTTTTTTTCTTTTTTTCTACACTTCACTCACCATTTTTAACAGAAAATGCTGATGTAGGTTCCCTTTATTAGTACATTTAATTTTAAGTTATTATAAATGACTGGCATTCAATAGGTCTAAGGGTTTCTGAATTAGCTTCTTGATATGAAAATCAAAAAATGATACTAAGATTAGTTTATAAACATATGTTTTAAGAACACCTATCTTCCAAAAAGACTCTTCCCTAAACACATACTTCTTTTAAAAGAATTAGATGCCATTAACAGTTGGAAGGTATGCGTTACCAACAACAGCAATGTCACCACTAAGAGAGGAAATACTGATTCTTGGGGGACAAAAAGAGCCAGATTTTGCAATAGTTAGTGGCCTTTTAAAGAGCCTCAGTATACAGTTTGACTGTAAAATTCAAATTTCACGGTGGAAGGGGCAGCAATTATGAAAATACGATAGATTACTTCTTTTACTGGCAACAATACACACATACACTTTCAAGTTAAAGCTCTTTGGAGTTAAAATAGCTTTATACACATAACTTGTTCTCTCTTCCTAGAAATGAAACAACAGGGAGGTTTCTCCTCGTGCTGAGTGACTTACAGGCCATTCTTCTCAATATCTAGGTAAAAGCATGTACTTCCCGGCAGACCTTTCCTCCCAGAGTCTCAGGAACAGGTTGATCTGAGGACCCCTGACAATGACTGGGAGAAATATTCTCATTACACACCGAACATTCAGGTATGGGGTAGGTTCTGACTGGTGTTTTAAAACAGGAGTGACCATGATTCTCTCTCTACTCAGCAATTACAGACTTTTCTGGAGCTGAATGAGGGACAACCCCTAACTCCTTTCTCTGCACTCCATTCAGAAAGATCACATGAGACACACTCTTTTAACATTCTGAAAATGGAAATTTACTGCATTTTTTAGTTTTGACAAAAAGAAATAAAGACTTCAATGATTTAAAACCTAGAACAGATTTTTTAAAAACTCTTTATCTTACATGATTTTTCTGATCTCTCCAAATTAGTCGGTGTGTACTAAGAAGGAGGGTCCCAGCATCAAATTTTATCTAGAAAGACAAGATCATCACAAAACATTAATGATGTATCACTCAATGTGGTCCAGATTTTCCTCCTCACAAGTTGCACAATAGTTAAGTTAATCATATAAACACTAGAGAATTAGGCTTACCACAAATTAAAGAGAAGCAATGTTACACATTTTGTAAGCTATATATATATATATATATATATATATATATATATATATATCTACAGCCTTAATAAAATTAGGAAAAAATCACAAACAACCTAGATGTGTAAGAACAGGGTAGTAGTTAAGTATGATACATTCATACTCTAGAATCCATGAGAGGTTAAAACGAGTGAGGTAGAGCTGCATGGACTATCATAGAATTCTGTGACAGAGTTAGTGGGGAGAGAAAGCAACTTGCAGCACATCACATATAATGTAATCAGATAGAAGACAGAGATAATCTCCAAATTCCCCAAACTACATTGTGAGATATATGCATATGTCTGTGTGTGTACACACACACACACACACATACACACACACACACAAGTAGTAGGAAAAGATATAAAAGGAATACTCACTGATCTGTTAACAAAGATTATCTCAGAAAGAGTGTGAGGAAATGGGAAGAAGAAAAGCAAAGGCCCCCTTTTAAAACTAACCACTTCACTATCAATTGAAATTTTTTTAAATTTTTTTTATTTTTTATTAACATATAATGTATTATTAGCCCCAGGGGTACAGGTCTGTGAATCACCAGCACTCACCATAGCACATACCTTCCCCAATGTCCATAACCCCACCACCCTCTCCCTCATGGCATTGTGTCACCTATTCAAAATATAAATGCAAAAAAGTTCTTAAAACTGTAATACAATTGCACACACAAAAAAAGCCTGCTGTGTCTTTAGGACCAAACCTTTAATCCTCATCCTTTGTTATTATGCATTGAAAATCATATAAATAAGCAAATTTTAGAGTTTGAATCCAAGACATAATATATCAAATTCTTTCATTTCTGTTAAAATTAAGAAATATATTGGAAGCTTCTTTTTAATTACTAGGAAGTAGAATTTGTCATAAGGTAGGACTTGCTTACATCCTTTTGAGGAGTAGTTAGTTATTTCTTAAGTTGTAAGGCTGTTCCCATATCAAGGCCACCTTACAAGACAACTCAGAGGGGGAAGAATGATACTGCATTCAGACAGATGGTGGCTACACTTGTGGGGAACACAGCACAATGTATAATCTTGTCAAATCACTATGTATGCTGTACACCCCAAACTAATGTAACATTGTGTGTCAACTATACTCAAATAAAAAAAAATTGTTTGATTAAAAAAAAAACTCAAAGGAAAGCATTTTCATTGGGGTCCAGTTTATTACAAATAATCCTTTTGAATTTAAAATAATCGGGTTAAAAAGCCAATGAGTAGGGGCACCTGGGTGGCTCAGTGGGTTAAGGCCTCTGCCTTCGGCTCAGGTCATGATCCCAGGGTCCTGGGATCGAGCCCCACATCGGGTTCTCTGCTTTGCAGGGAGCCTGCTTCCTCCTCTCTCTCTGCCTGCCTCTCTGCCTATTTGTGATCTCTGTCTGTCAAATAAATAAATAAAATCTTAAAAAAAAAAAAAAGCCAATGAGTAACTGATTAGAACAGGTATATATCATTAAGTAAAAATAATCATAAATTTATGTATGCAAATTGAAAGTTAATATATTACAAGATACTCATGATATTAACAAAGAAAACCTAGGTTTCAAAGTGGTATACATAGCATGATCCCACACACACACACACAGCCACAAAGAGACGAATAATGTCCCAAAAGTAATTGTTTATGGGTAGCAGGATTACTAATTATTTCAAGTTTCTTCTTTTGGCCTACCCATATTTAACAACTTTATTATTTGTCTAATGAAAAAGATAAGAAATTTCTTAGAAACATACATAACTTCGTGAGGTTTGAAATGTACATAAATTATTTTTTGTTAAATCAAACATATACAGAAACACTTTTTCTGTCAAAAAACTTCTTGGATAATAACCAATCCTCTTTTTAATATCAATTTTTAAAAACTGTTTTCTAAGAGTAAGGTGTGACTATATTGCTAATATGTTAGTCATTATCAATATGGTTAATAAGCTTTGATGGTAAGAGACCTACTGAGCCATCTATTTTAAATACACTCTGTGAGATATCATTCCACAAAGGCACTTCAAACCCTCAGAGAAAAGACTTGATGAGTTCCATATTTCCTACCGAATCAGAAGTTATATACATGTACTTCTGGCACTTAATTCAGTCTGGCTCCAAATGTTTATGCGAAACCAAATAACTGAGTTTAAGAGATTTTAAAAACTTCTTTTTTGTCAATGTGTAAGATTTCCCTTTTCCAAAAACAAGTATTTTATCAACTTGAGAGTACACGATGCTACATGACAGCGTAACAGTTCTGATTAAGAAAATGCACTTTCTCTTACTGAAGTTCAAGCATAAGGATGTGATTATAAAGCTGAAGGCAGAGTCTGTTCCATTGCTATGTCCATTAACAATGTGCAAACGTAAAATGCTGCTGTTCTAAGTGAAGAATTGTGTAATACTTCCCTTCAGGGATTCCAAGGGATTATGAGCTAAACCTGATAGACAAGTTTAGGCTGGCTTGCTCCTGCCACTCAGAGCTAGAATAATTTTAACTAGTTAAAGGTTGATCTAACTTGGGCATTAGCTGGATAAGCTCTTACCCTGTTTTATTATTTAACATTTTTCTGTTATAAAAGCAATATAATGTTGAAGATCTGGGGAAAAAAGATTTAAGTCTAAAAAAGAAAATGAAATCACTCATAATCACACCAGCCAAAGAATACACACATGTATACATATGTATATTATTTATGTGTGTGCGTGCATGAGTGAATAATCTTTAAATAAAATGAAGCCATTATATTTAGTTTTATAACTTTTTTCAACTGGTGGCCTAACATTAACAATTCCTCATGTTGATTAGGGTGTATCATATTTAATTAACAAAACCCTCTGGGGAACATTCGGGTTGCTTCCAATTTTCTATATATGTAATAATATAGAATATATATAACAATGTTTAGACGAGCATCCTCATTCATTATATTTTTATGCATCTCTGATTATTTCCCAGGGGTAAATTCCTAAAAGTGAAATACCTAGCTGAAAGAAAATACACATTTTCCAAGTCTCCCAGTGTATGTTGCCAACTTGCCACTTTATACACTACTAACCTGCTTTCATTGTATTTTTAAATTAGCTGAGGCTATAGAGGCGTGTGTGAATTTAAACAAATGACCTGTCTACGCTGCTTAAGAAAACAACACACTATCCCGTCATAATGGGCCCGTGAAAACTATGCCTGTAGAAACAAGCAGGCATGCATTTATCCACAAGAGGTGCTTGGGTGCTGGGGCGGTGGGAAAAGCAGTCTACTGGGGCTCCACCAAATACTAAGTGTGTGACCTCAGACAGGTCACAGTTTCCTCAGCTATCAACCAAGAGCCTCTGTGTCTTCATCTCTGGGAGTATCGACTATATTAAACATTACACAGAGTCTGACGCTGGTGGCTACTGTGTTCATGAAGCATCGCAGCCAAGCAAACCAAGTGCAGGCTTTGGAAGTCTGATCAAGAGATCTCACTCTGGTGTCTCCTGCTAACTAACTGTGTGTGGGCAGGCCCCTTTCTAAGAGTTACTGTCTCATCCATAAAATATCACCTCCTATGCCCACGGAGAAGATTAAATGAGATTATATGTAAAGCTCCTGGCACACAGTAGGTGCTCTAATTACTCAGGTCTCTTTTTTTTTCCCCCATGTACTTCATACCCTCAATGAGCCAAAAGATGCAAGGATGAGTAAGGCACGCTTTCTGCCCTCGGGAGCGACCGCCTGATCTAGTAGACGGCCAAGTACACCCCTGCCTTGGGATGTGCACACCTGCCTCAGGAATGTGTCAGGATGCACAGCTATGAAGGCCACACTGACTGGACTCAAGTGCCCTAGACCAAGGGAGCCAGTGCAAGATACTGAAAGGGAACTTGACCAGAGTTCAAGTTCCCTGGAGGCCGATAGGGAGCTTCCTAGAGCCTTCAGACCACATGAGGTCTGGAAGCCTTCCAGCAGATGGAGGAAGCCAGGACACGGGACTTTTCTCCAGGATTCAGCATAAGCCCTCAGCCACACTGGGGATGGCTCAGCCAGTGACTCATTCCATGCAGCTCGGGGACCGCAGTGGTGAGCAGGCTTGTCTTAGAGCTCTGCTTCAGTTTCAGGACACCTACATCCCTCCCTTACCATCTTCAGCTTTTAGAACAGTTAAGAATTCCTCAATAGATCAAAGGGTCTTACTAAATTTTTTCCAATATTTTTTTATTAATCCTCTGATAACTGTTATCTACTTGTCTGCTAAAAGAAGCAAAAACTTAAAAGGAAACATTAGAATACACTGGTTTAGCAATTGTTCTTCCATATACAGGTACTCATGGTTTTGACTTTTTGTTGTCTTAAATAGAGGTAAATAGATCATAGTTTTATTAGGTGCCAGCCAAGATGTTCCTAATTTGCATACCAGAGTTACACAGAACAGGGTGTGATGTTTTGCAAAAGTGTGACTTCCAGCATGGACTGTCTTTAGGTCTTTAGTAGAGTCTCTGAATACCAGTCTATGACTGTCAGTACTGACAGGGAGGCATCATCAAACCGGCTGAGGGAGGGGAATTTGATTATGCTTCCCATTTAAAAAGCTCCAAAGACTGGAGGAGGTTTTGCTGAGTGAAATAAGTCAAGCAGAGAAAGTCAATTATCATATGGTTTCACTTACTTGTGGAGCATAAGGAATAACATGGAGGACGTTGGGAGAAGGAAAGGAAAAGCGAACCGGGGGAAATCAGAGGGGGAGACGAACTATGAGAGACTGTGGACTCTGAGAAACAAACTGAGGGTTTTGGAGGGGAGAGGATGGGGGGATGGGTGAGCCTGGTGGTGGGTATTAAGGAGGGCATGTATTGCATGGAGCACTGGTTGTGGTGCATAAACAATAAATCTTGGAACACTGAAAAAATAAAGTAAAATTTAAGAATGAATAAATAAAAATAAAAAAGTTCCAGAGATTGTAACCTTGTTGTTAAAAACGTTTTAGTTTAGTCACTCCAACCAAAAGATGTAAACCCAATTTGAGATCAAGTCAATAAAAGTGCTAAGGCAGGAAATCAAGCAAATCCAAGCAAATTATTTTAAGAAAAAGACCTGGACTTGATAATGGAGGCAACAAAGTACACGGAAAATACCCTCAGGGAAGCAGAACACCTGGGTCCTATGCCATGTCCACTGCGCCCCTAGATATCTGGGTCTGCCCTCCATGACCTAGGAGGACGGAAGTCTCAAGCTTCTGCCGACACGGACCAGGAAAAGCTGTGAGTCAAGGAACAAACGCAAAAGTAGAGAAGGAAGTTTCATGAACGAAACCACAAAGAAGAAGAGAGAGCAAGTGAAAACTTCTGGAAACTAAAAATGTTGCTGAATAAACGGGTTTTTGACATTTTTCTGATTCCAGCTTATACATTTCATCCAGGTGAGGTTAGCAGTTCCGCAACAGCCCTCTAACCTCAAGCTTAGGCGCTCCGTGCGGGCTGGCCAAACTCCCTTGGTGTGCAGGGGACTAACCTACTTCCCTTGAGACTTGCAGACCACTGGCCTTGAGGAGTGGACCAGACTTGCCCTGAAAATAAAGGCTGACCGCACTGGAAAACAGCTGCGGCTGATGCCAGCAAGTCTGTTCAGGGTCATTTCCACCTCGGACTAACCGCCTCGGCACCTGCTTCCCCTGCACAGAGTACCCCGCCTCCCCGTTCCCCCACCCTGCCTTCCCCTTTAAGCCCTTCCGGCTTCGCCTGGACCGGGAGGATGGTCTTTGGGGCGTTAGTCCACCGTCTTCCCGGGGAAAGCAGCCTTCCTCTCCCTCTCCAGAAGGCTCGTCTCTGGAGCGCGGTTCTTCCGGGGGAGAGAGGGGGGCGCAGCCCCAGCCGCGCTGGACCCGGCTCCCCGGCGCTAACAGCCGGACGGAAGTCTGCCCCGAACGCTCACGCTGGGAACACTTCTCCCCATTCGCAAGCCCATCTCCTGAGGTTTCCGCCCGCATGACAAGGCACGGCCTACCACATCACTTTCCCAAACAAACGCTCTAGACTCCTTCTAAAGTCATTCCCGGAAAAAAAGGGGGGGTGGGGGGAGGAAGAGCCTTCAGAAAGGCGTCCCGGTGAGACCCGGACACGCTTCTCGGAAACCCCTGCAGGGCACTACCGCCCGCTCTGTGGGGCAGACCCCACGCGCAACGGCCGCACCCGGTCACGGAGACACCCGGGTCAGGGGGCCGGGCAGACCGGCCCGGCGCGGCGCGGCCCGGCCCACCGTCACCAAGCCCGAGCCCGGGCCGGAGGCGCCGGCACCCGGCCACTCGTCGACTGTCCCCGCCGCTCCCTGCGCGCCGCGGGGTGGGGACCCGGGGCCCGGGCGAGGAGGCCCCGCAGGCCCGCCAGACCGCGCTCCGTCCCGGAGGCAGCCCTCACCTTCTCCTCGCCGTCGTAAATGCGCACTCCGCGCTGCTGGATCACCAGGGTCTCGTTGATCTCCAAGAGGCCGCTGGTCCACAAGAAGCGGTCCATGGCCGCCGCCAGGCCGGCCTCCGCCGCTTGCCCGCGCCGGCGCTCGGGGGCGGCGAGCCGAGCGCTGGGCAGCCTGCGGCGCCCCCTGGCGGTGGGCGGGGCGGAGGCCGGGATGGGAGGGTGCCTGGGACCGTGGGGTCGTGCGTGGAGCGCCCCCTGGCGGGCGGTCGGCTTGTGGCCCGGCGGGAACGTCCCCCCCACCCTTTGTCCAGCTCTTCTGGGGGCGCAGACCCGGAGCTTACCAGAGACTTTGACGAAGGCCAGGCCACAGCCCGGACTTTCTAATTGTTCATTATTCTTGTATATTTGTGCCGTTTCCTTGTCAGGGCCCAGCGTGTTGCCACGTTCATAAAAGGTTTTCTTTTCAAATAAGGATTTATGGCCTGAACAGTTTTTTATGCAACGGCCATCAGTATGAAAGTACCATTTGTGCCCCTTTCTTCCCCATTAAGATCATTTTCGTTTAAACATTTTCAACGTCAACACGGACCTCATGTATTTACTCTAGACTCTATTTTAATCTATGGATCTTCCATAATTTATCTGTGTGCTGTCCCCACAAACCCGTCCATGGCTGCCAATCGCATGGGCTGGGCTTCTTTCGCTGTCCCTGTTCATTTTATTTACATCTTTACGTTATAAACGAGTACCTATATTTGTACTCCCACAACTGATGTATTTTGGGGGCTTTGGACTTATTTTCTTAAGAGTGTCTTCCTGAAATAGAATTACTGCCTTAAAGAGTTTGCACACATTTTAGACAGCTTGTTGCATACTGGGAACTTTCTTAACAAGGATACAGTGCCTCCTACAAACTGGTCTTTTTCCCAGGCCAAGTCGTTTTGTCTACAGTAGACATCATTTTTGTTGATACTGCCTGTGAGATGATGATGTTTTCAAGTTGAAGACTCAAATTTCTGTCTTCTTCAGAAGTGTGTTCCTCTGTCATTTATTTGATTATTACTTCTGGTCTATGTGTTCTTTTTTTTTTTTTTTTTGCCTCTTTGGGACCTTTATTTGTGTATTTTAAATCTGTCATAACTGTCTGTCTCCCATGACTGCTACCTTTTTCCTCATCATATTCATTTCTATGTATTTGGGGTCTGAACATGTGTTTTTACCAGCGATCATTCACTTTTCTAATTCTTTTGTTGAATTATTAAATTGGGCATTTTTTAAAGTTCTAGAGTATTTTTTAGTTCCAGAAACACCTGCGTGACTGTTCTGATTACATCTCCATAGAGTTCTCATTGAATTTTTAATAACGTTTTCTTCTATGACTTCCCTGAGTTCACACTCCACAGTGACATCCTATTTTAATTCATCTTGTTCCTTCTCTTTTAAGTCACTGTCCCCTTAAGTTTCTCTTAATAACTTTATATGTGAGATCTTACACTGCCTATGCAAGGCAGCCTATTAAGATCTCACATGACAAGGACTGACAGGTGGTTTTTCCCAGGGGACCATATGCAAGTAGTACGGTAAGTTGAGAACATCTCTTCTGAATCACTTCAAGACAGGCTTCTTGGTTCTCAGCCTTCTCACTCATTCAACAAGTATTCAAAAAACATTTATTGAATACCCACCAGGTGTCAGGTACTATTCAACTCCTCTCCAGTGCCACTGGTAAGAGAAGCTGCTGGTTCCTCCCAAACTGGGCAGGATTGGCACTCAGGTGAGGGGAGGGAGGCACTCCTCTCAGGTGCAAAACCTAAGGGCATGCCAAAAAATTCAGTGATCCATATGAATAATATGTTAAAGCAATATGTTTGGGGTTTTTGTTCTTTTTTCTTAATTGACTATATTCCCCATTCTGTACCTTATATTCCTATGACTTATTCCACAGCTAGAAGCCTGTTTCTCCCACTCCCATTCACCCATTTTGCCCTTTCCCCATCCCCTTCCCCTCTGGCAACCATCAGCTTGTTCTCTGTATTTATGGGTCTCTTTCTGCTTTTTGTTTATTCGTTTATTTTGTTTTTTAGATTCCACATATGAATGAAATCATATAGTATTTGTCTTTCTCTGACTTATCTTAGTATAATACCTTCAATGTCCATTCATTTTGCCACAAATCACAAGATCTTATCCTTTTTAAAGCTGAGTAATTCTCTCTCTCTCTCTCTCTCTCTCTCTCTCTCTATATATATATATATATATATATATATATATCTACCACCTCTTCTTTATCCATTTGTCTATCAATGGACACTTGGTCATCTCCATACCTTGGCTATTGTAATTAATGTTGCAATAAATGAAGGGGTGCACATATCTTTTAGAATGAGTGTTTTTACTTTCTTTGGGTAAATACCCAGTAGTGGAATTACTGGATCATATAGTAATTCTATTTTTAGTATTTTGAGGAATCTCCATACTGTTTTCTATAATGGCTGTACAAGTTTGCATTCCCACCAGTGCATAAGGGTTCCTTTTTCTCCACATCCTCATGAACACCTGTTATTTCTAGTCTTTTTTAATTTAACCATTCTGACAGGTGAAAAGTGATATCTCATTGTGGTTTTTAATTTGCATTTCCTTGGTTAGTGATGTTGGGCATCTTTTCATGTGTCTGTTGTCCATCTGTATGTATATCTTCTTTGGAAAAATATCTATTTATATTCTCTGCCTATTTTAATTGGATTATTTGTTTTTGAGGGGTTGAGTTGTATAAGTTCTTTATATATTTTGGATATTAACCCCTAATTAGATGTATCATTTGCAACGATCTTCTCCCATTCAGTAGGTTGCTTTTTTATGTTGTTGGTTTATTTTGCTGTCCAAAAGTTTTTTATTTTGGTGTAGTAAAACAGTTTGTTTTTTAAAAATCAGAATTAATTTTTAAAAATCCATGATAAATAAAATACTCATTTTAAATAAAGGCAAGATCAACAGGCCATGAATAGGGCAAGGAGAGTAAGGCCAGGCCATGCATGTGAGGCCACTTACCTCACTCTGGTCCCAGTCTATCAGGTCCTAAAGTTGATCACCTGCCCATGTGGTGGAGGGGTGGAGGGAAGACTCCTTTTGTTCCCAGGGCTCTGTATTTCCCCTAATCATGGAGTTACTGATCTGTAGCACAGGTTCTATGAGAAAGGTAAGACTCTTTCCAGTGAACAGAAACCATCTTTTCTCCACTGAATTAAATTGCCACTTTTATCATGTTCTAAAATCCTGTGTGTATTCTGGTCTATTTCTGACCCTTCTTTTCTGTTTGTATCTTTCATTTTATTTCATGAAAATATCCCAAAGCACTAAACTTTGACATTTTATTCATAGTAAAATATCATCATTACATGTGATCATTTACTGTCATTTTCTGATTTTCTTTTTAGCATTAGCATTTACTGTCATTTCCTGATTTTTTTTAGCATTAGCATTTTTTAGCATTATTTATATATATATTTTAAAATCTTTTCTCCTATTAAAAGTACATCATGTAAGCTAAGTGTCCTAGTCTGATGTGAAATTGTGCAGTTTTTCCTGGACTTTGCAATGATCAAAATGTTGGGCAGTGTGGACATGAAAACAAAGTATGCTTTCTGCCCTTGAGAGGCACACAGTTTGCGGTAAACAAATAGGAAGCCTGACATATCACAGCTGCTGGGATAAACCAAGAGTTTTCTCTTTCCAGGCTGGAGCAAGGAGAAACGTCATGTGTCTTAGACATGTCAATAAATGAAAATGAAGTAGGCCAGAGTACCTGCCTGATAATTCATCCAAGAATGTGAACAGGGTATCTATATTAGACAGAGTTCTCCAGAGAAAAATATGGGATAAAGAATTAGCTTGTGCTGTATCGATGCTGGCAAGTCCAAAACCTTCAGGACTGGCAAGCATGCTGGAGACCCAGGAAAGCTAAGGTAATAGTTCAAGTCCAAAGTCCACCAGGGCCATTGATCTGGAGAACTAAGAGGAGCAGATGTTCCAGTTTGAGTCTGAAAGTCATTATTTGTTGAGTTTTTCTTGCCATGAGTAGGGAGAGTCAGCCTTTTGTTCTGTTCAGGCCTTTCAACTGATTGGATGAGGTCCACCAACATTATGTAGAGCAATCTGCTTTACGTGGAGTCTGCCAATTTAAACATCAATTTCACCCAAAAACACCCTCACAGAAACACCCTGAATAATAATATTTGACCAAATATCAGGGCACCATGTGGCCCAGCCAAGTTGACATATAAAATTAATCATCACAGCATCTAAGTGAAAGCAGAAAGATGTTGAAATCCAATGGACAGGGCTGTCAGGATTCCCTTGGGTCAGTCCCCCTAGATCCCTGACTTGGGAGAAGTGTTCAAAGATGAGAACCAGGGAGAAGGAATGCTGAGAAGCCAGCAGGGGCAAGGAAAGTACCATCTTTTGCTCAGGATGCAAGTCAAGATTAAAACACTTCACCACAGTGAGTTCCCTAAAAAGAAGAGAGATAATAGAAGTGTGCATGGTTGGGTTCTGTGATCTGAGTGTTCCACTACATGCAGGGAAGATGGTACAGGATCCCTTGTTTCCTATGAGCTGTGGAAGACCACCCCAGAATGCAATCTCATGACCAAAGCTGCACACATACACACCACACACACCATAGGTTATATACCTTTTGAGCTAAGTATCTTATATATCATAGATCATAAACCTTTGGACCAAAACCAGAGCAAAGATATGGGAAGAAAGCTAGAGATAGTAGAAGAAAAGCTAAATTTGTGAGTTTTGTTTTTCTGCAGGCATTATGTTCCTCTCCTAAAATATAATTTTTTAAATTATGAAATTCTTCTGTAATAATGGTAAAATGTTCAAAACTGCAGGTACATGTATTGCAATTATCACTAATTAAATTTATTCCACATTATGATTTTTTTTAAGTATGTAATGGGAAGATTTCTGTTGTTATAAGACTAAATACTAGCAGTATACAGATTCATTGCAATATCTATCAAAATACCAATAACATTTTTCACAGAACTAGAATAATAAAATTTGTATGGAACAACAAAAGTCTTCAAATAGTCAAAGCAATCTTGAGAAAGAAAGAAAAAAAA